TGCGAGGAAGCCAGTAGGCGTTGTGCAGCCAGGATGGCGGACGCGTCTGGGCTGATGTAGGCGGAGAAAGCCGAAGAGGACCAGCCCCCCAGCTGTTGGAGAGGTGGGGGAGCCCCAGCGAGGCCGCGCGCGTGGCAGCGCCTATCCTGAAGGAGTGGGTTGTATAGAGCTGGGGAGACAAATTGCAGAGGAGCAGTAGGGATCTTAGTCGAGCTCTGAACCAGGTTGCTGTCATGGGAAGGTTGTCTGGAGAGAGATGTGTCGGAGCGAGCTATTATTATGTTGCAGGCGCCTTGGTCTTTGAATGTTTGAGATGCAGGTTGAAAGGGTCAGGGGACATTATGTTGGGTGAAAAAGAGCGACCTTTGTGTAATGCTTCCACTACGTCGAGATTATCACACATGATAGAGATCCTCTTTCTCTGCCACGTGTGATTCCACGGCGCGCAGGCCACGACCACTGGGAATATCTCGTGTAGGGCAGAGGAGATGCTCCGGTGGAAGTAGCGGCCACGGCCCGGCAACCCAATGGTCCTGGAGAATCCCCCAAAACCCACGGAAGGGGCACGTCCGTGTAGAAGCGGAGACCTGTAGGGGCAGAGACAGGTCGGAGAGGGCCATTGATGTTGCAGGCGCCCTTACGCTTAGAATCTTGGGTCGGAGAGTAGATAATCAGGATAGTAGGATGGTCGGGAAGCCGCGTCTCGGACCGCATGAAGGTTGAGCGAGCAGTAGTGAACGCTTATGCAGAGAAGTCATAGAAGGCGAGCAGGAAGATGCTGCGAGGAGGGCAGACATGTACTTGGAAGACGAGCCAGAGTTCAGTGCCGCTCAGTGCCGCTGCAGGATGGGCAGCACGATGGGGGAGCCTGCGATCAGAAGAGTGAGGAATACAGGTATGGATGCCTTTGATTAGGAGTCCGATTGACGGCTCAGCGCAGCCACTCGGCCAGCTGCATCTGATAGAATCAGAAGAAAGGTAGAGAGATGAAGCATGACCGCCGAAGCGACCCTGGGAGCATAGGTACGAGGCCAGCGCGGCGCGGCATACTCAGCCGGGCAGCATCCATTAGAAACAGGATAAGCTCTGAAAGAGTGGGTTGCAGCAGTAGCGGTAGCAGCAGCAGCAGTAACCTCAGATAATAACAGCGATAACCTGTATCAAGCCGCGGCAGCAGCAGCAGCAGCAGCAGCAGTAGCAGCATCCTTAGAGATTACAGTAATAATCCTGTATCAAGCCACAGCAGTAGAATGTTGTCGTAGCTGATCAGTGTTTCAGTAAAGAGATGCAAGTGAAGAGAGATGGCAAGTAAATGAAGCAGCAGTAGTAGCGCAGTAGCAGTATGGAGCAGCAGCAGCAGCAGTAGTAGCCGTATGAAGCAGCAGCAGCAGTAGCAGCAGCAGCAGCTGCAGCGTCCGTAGATAATAACAGCAATGATCCTGTATCAAAGCCACGGCAGTAGAATGTTGTTGTAGCTGTTCAGTGTGAGGGATTTCACCAGTTTTTTACGGTCCAAGTGATTTAACAGGTTTTACGGTCCAAGTGAGGGATTAACTGAGCCCGCAGTCCAAGTAAGGAGTTTAAACTATTTTTTTCTTTTTTTTTCTTTTTTTTTTTTTTTTTTTTTAATATATAGCGTTCTAGATATAGGCAGTACCATATATGCAGTTCCATGTACTGCATAACAGTTCCAGGTATAACCGTACCATATGAGCAGTTCCAATATAGCGGTTCCATATATAAGCAGTTCCATATGAAGCAGTTCCAGATACGGTACAACAGTTCCAGATATAAGTAGTTCCAGATATAAGCATTTCCAGCTATAAGCATTTCCAGCTATAAGCATTTCCAGCTATAAGCATTTCCAGCTATAAGCATTTCCAGATATAAGCATTTCCAGATATAAGCAGATCCGTGAGGGATTAACCCGAGAGCTCACAGACCAATGTAAGGGATCCATTTTGGGAGCCGCAGTCCGAGAGGGATTTAAACAGCGCTTGCAGTCCAAAGAGAGGGATTTAAACAGAGCCTGCAGGCCAAAGTGAGGGATTAAAACTGAGAGCATGTGGTCCAATGTGAGGGATTAAAACTGAGGTCTTGCAGTCCAATGTGAGGGATTAAACGGAGCTTGCAGTCAGAGTGAAGATTTAACGGAGCTTGGTTAAAGAGAGCCTGCAGACCAATGCGAGGGCTTTAAACTGAAGCCTGCCCACCAGCACGGGGCCAACTGAGCCTGCAGTACAATGCGAGGGGAATAAACCATCCGCAGATCTCATACTTACCCACAGCGCCAGAAGACAAGGGACAACACAACGGGACCACACCGTACCGGCACAAGGAGGCAGGGATGCGCACGGCTCCCACCGCACCGGGCTAGACCGGCCGTATGCAGCAGCAGGCCGCAACGAGACGAGCAGCGGCGAACCCGCGGAAGAGCCCGCAAGGAGGAGAGCGGCAAAGACCCACGGACCACAGCACGAGACCCGCAGCAGGTGCAGCCACAGGAGGAGCAGACCACACGCAGCAAGACAGAGGACAGCAGGGACACGCACGAGTAAGCGTGAGTAGACAAAGCGATTCCTCCAGAACGATTCTTTGCGAGGCTGCAGGAGCTTGCGAGGCTTCAGGAGGCCAGTAGTGGGAGTTGCTCCGTTTTTATGCGGCTGCGAGTCGGTACAGATGATTGGAAGGGGGCGTCTGCTGAGCGATAGGCTGGGGATGAGAGCCGGCCTGGAGGGGGTAAATTTGGTTAACGTCTACCAAATTGAATTTTCGCGGGCTGCATTTTTGCTCTGGCCCAATGACAGTAAAGCTTTGGCCTGGGCCTTGCTCATTGGACCAGGCCACCAGGCAGGGTAGGAGTTTGCAAAGACCGTGAGGATGAAATTAAATAAAAAATAAAAAAAGGCCGTGATGATAGGGCAGGCCCAGGCCACTTTGACACGCAGGCCACCGGGAGATCTCCCGATGCTCCCGATGGCCAGTCCGGCCCTGCATGATGACCACGCCTACTCAGGAAGTAACTTCAGCTGATAAATTAAATGTCACCAAGGCGGGTGATTAATACATCCAACTTGTGTTTCAAAAGAACTACTAACAGGTGTTCAGGCTTACTTTTAGGCATCTCTAGTCACTTGTGGTGTATAAAATGCATTCTGTTCTTTTTTCCTTAGCGTTCTCGTTAGGTGTAGTGGTTCTGCTGGCACCCCCTCTGTTTACACCTCTGCTTCCAGGTTTAATCTGCTTTGTTGGCATCACTAATATTTTTTCTCAGTCTGCCTCTGACAGTGGCGGTGGATATGTTGAATCAGCCATGAATAATTGTTATCATTTCCATTGTGTTTGAACATGATGTCACTCGCACAGTGGGAGTAATAGATCATTCAAACAATGTTATTTCCCACAATGAATGAGGGGAGTCGGGGCATCTCTGCAAAGGTGTGTCCAGAAGTGACATTATAATGTATCCTTATAACCGTAGAATGTTCGATTGATCATCAATCTTTCTATAAACATAGTTATTTCGCACCTGTTGGTTTGCTATCCCATTAATTCAAAGCTATACAGACATTTTTGGACTCACCTTCAGTTAGTGTTTACAGTGCAATCCTATCTGTTCATAAACACTTTCCCACTAGCTTTCACTTATTTCAGAGAAGTGTGGTCCCTGAAGGTGACTTAGCAGCAAAAATGAGATTATGTCCTATTGCCAGGGGTAAGGAATCGCAGTCTCCTGGAGGTATCTAATTTATCACCAGCTGACGCCATTTTTTCTCTCCACCTCCACTGTAGCACAAATTATATTAGACAAAGTTTAACAGCTCTCCCCCTCAGTGTATAAAACATAGATTAGTATGCATTCAACCAGACGCACTCAGGACCTTTTTAGACAGCAACTTGGCTGAAAGGAAGTCAGAAAAACCCTTGCATATAAGCCACTGTTCATCTTGTATGCATAGAATCATGTAAATTATACGGTCAACGAACAACAAGCCATTTGTCTGGTGCCGTGTGATTAATTGCGATAATGAACACTACATGGCACTGATGGAAGTGGTCCTTTCATTATGATGGTACGTAAATACTCAAGGAGAAAAGGTTTGTTTGCACATAGCATGACACAAGTTTCAATGCAAGATGCATGCATGAAAGCGGTGGAAATAATTGTACATCTGCACTAAGTGGAAAAGGGAATAGCTACAGTATTCACACCTTTTCTGTTCTTCAAATGATTAGTTGGTTTATTGTCTGAGGAATGTATCCATTTTGTGGTTTAAAAGACAAAGAGGATAGAAGCTAGTGCTGCTTAATTGTCATACGTGCAGAATTCTACCTTCGTCAGAGACACGTAATACATGGCTTTTATCAACTAAAATAGATTAGTTATTCCCAAAGGTCAGTGACAATGTGAATTTATTATACATTTGACAAAAAAAGCTTAAGTGATATCCCCGGAGAGCATAGTGTGGACACAGTATTTTTAGTCAAACAGTCGAATGTGTAACAAGTCCTCTCTATTTCAGTTCTGCAGTCATTGTAAATGATTATGGTCATTAAACCTCAAATCATCTGTTTAAGTTTATATAAGGTTGAAAAAAAACATTAAATGATTACAACTTTGTTGGCAACTAATGATTACTTATTCATTGATTAACTTGTTGCAGCCTTAGTAGTAAGTCATCTATCTGCATGCTGGAATATTTATGTGGACATTAACACTTGAGAAAAAACATTTGTATGAGTGGGAGGCAAAATGTTTTTTGCGTGTGTAAGAATCGGTAGTTAGTGAGCAATGTAGAAACTGTGCTGTAAATCTAAAAGGTCATAAACAATATGGCCTTATCCCTATCCAGACTGTATTACTGCTTAATTAACACTGACGCTTAATTACTGCCGTAGCCCCATTAGAGCTGTAAACAGTTATTTTACGACACTGAGACAAGTGCAGGTGTAAGGTGCCACTTTATTTCAGCGTTAACCCGATCGTCCTGTTTTCGCAGACGTATGAGTGTGTGTGCCACTCTGGCTGGGAAGGGAAGTTCTGCCAAAAAGAAAGTGATGAATGTTTATCGCAGCCGTGCAAAAACAACGCCACCTGCACGGATCTCCTGGACGCTTTCAAGTGAGTGTGCGACAGCAGCATCACACAATTAGTATCACACATTCGTGGCGCTCGTGCTTCACTACAAGAATTCCATCTCCATACTGGGCCTGTGTCGAGTTTGTATGTTCTCCCCGAGCTCCGCAGAGTAAACCTGCACAATAGGTCTGAATGTAGTGAGTGCGTAAAGGATGGTTATGGTCGGAGACTTTGACAGGCCTAGTGTCTGGGTCTCGCTTCGGTCATCATTGTGTGTGGAGTGAATAAAATTACCCTAAATTGTGAAGTGCTTTGTGTGACCTTGTTATGTGAAATGCGCTATGTGTACATTATTTTGATGATTTACTTTTCTTACTTACTCACTTTCTTTCCACAACTTGAAAGCTCATAAAAAAAGGAGAAGAAAAAATGTGTTGTTATTCAAATATAGAAATTGGTGAATAATTAAGTTTTTATTCGTATACACTATTAATTAATATGACTTAATAACTAATTAAAAGTAATTCATTGTTTGGTTTAGTTTAATGTGGTTATTACTAAATACAATATGAAGTATTTATTATAAATTACATATGAATATATGTTATTAAAATGTGTGTTTTACATGGGTTTATTCAGAAGAGCAAGCAGTAGTTGCTAAGCTATGCGAACAATTGGCTTGATGTAAATTGTTATACTGTGGTGCGTAAGGAGCGGAGTCGGAGGCGGTGTGTCAAACAGCGGTGACAAACGTACACGTTTTAATGCCATAAAACAGCCAGTGTAACAGAACTCCTCACACAACCAAAAACATTTCTTCTCATGGGAAAACTGTGCAACCGTTTTACCTGTCCCCCCGGAACCCCACCAGAGTAACCACAGTTCCATGGGTGAATTATGTAAACCACCACACAAGCCCCCCCAGAATTCAACCATAGTCAAAATTCCCACTCCGGAATGGAATGATGGCCCGCCCACTCCGAGTACAAGTGGCAGGGGCTGAGGGGAGGGAAGCGGGGGACGCAGCCGGCACCGTCCCGGTCGAAGGAACTCCCGACTGACCAGGGGAACAAAGTACTGGGGGGCGTCCGCGGCGTGGGGCCTGGGCCAACACCAACGGTCTGGAAATGTCCACATGAGCAGGCTTGATCCTATCAACGGAAATAGTTTCAGGTCTACCCCCAATGTCCACGACCAGGCTCTTGTCCCCATGCTGCAAAACCCTAAACGGGCCGTCGTAAGGGGGACGCAGCGGTCCACGGTGGGCGTCGTGGCGGACGAAAACAAACGACGCAGAGCGGAGGCCAGCGGGCATCCGGGACTCAGGGGAGCAGTGCTGCGACGTATGAACAGGCACAAACCCCGTGGCCACCTCCCGCAGGGAGGACCGCTGTTCGGTAGCAGACCAAGGTCTCATAGCATCCGGTATAAAATCCCCAGGCACCCGCAAAGCCTGGCCGTAAACAAGCTCGGCAGACGAGGACTGCAGATCCTCCTTGGGGGCGGTCCTAAGGCCAAGCATGACCCAGGGCAGTTTGTCAACCCAGTTGCCGTCTGTCAGGCTTGCCCGAAGGGCAGCCTTCATAGAGCGGTGGAAACGTTCACACAGTCCGTTAGCCTGGGGGTGGTATGCGGTGGTGCGGTGCAACTTGACACCCAAACCCCCCGCCACAGCGTTCCAGACCTCCGAGGTAAACTGCGCACCCCGGTCAGAGGATAGATCAGAGGGCGTACCGAAACGCGAAACCCACGTGCCAATGAACGCCCGAGCCACATCGGCAGCCGTGATAGAGGCGAGGGGAACAGCCTCAGGCCAGCGCGTCGTCCTGTCTACCATCGTGAGGAGGTAAGTGAAACCACGTGAAGGGGGAAGCGGCCCCACCAGGTCGATGTTAACGTGGTCAAACCTCCTCTCCGGAACAACAAAAGGTTCTAACGGGGCCTTGGTATGGCGGTGCACCTTAGCACGCTGACAGGCCACACAAGAATCAACCCAGGCCCGCACATCCTTCTTGAGTCCTCTCCAGACAAACTTTTGCGATACAAGCCTAACAGATGCCTTTCTGCCAGGATGGGACAGGCCGTGTATAGGCTCAAAAACAGACCGCTGCCAGCTGGCGGGGACCAGAGGCCTGGGCTGGCCAGTAGAGAGGTCACACCACAACCTGACCCCAGAAGCGCCGACCGCGACCTTTCCCAGCTGCAGTCCAGTGTCCGAGTCCTTGAGGGACTGAAGGGTGCGGTCTGCGGCCTGGTTTGCACCCATACGCGCGTAGTCTAGTCCGAGCTGGACCGCACCAACGACCGCCCTGGAAAGACAATCCGCAACCACATTGGATTTGCCGGCAATGTGTCGTATGTCCGTGGTATACTCCGAGATGAACGCCAGCTGGCGCTGCTGGCGGGCGGACCACGGCTTTTGTTGTGGTCAACAAAAACCGTAAACTCACGGCCCTCCAGGACGAAGCGGAAGTTGCGGATTGCCAACCAAACAGCGAGCAGCTCTCTGTCAAAGGTGCTGTATTTACGCTCCCTGGGGACAAGCTGGCGGCTGAAAAAGGCGAGCGGTTGCCAGGTACCCTCGACCCACTGCTCGAACACGGCACCCACGGCATAGTCGGACGCGTCAGTAGTGAGGGCAACCGGGGCCCCAGGTGACGGGTGGACCAACATAGTGGCCTGGCACAACGCAACTTTTGTGTCCTCGAAGGCCTGGTCCGCCTCCGCGGTCCAGACAACGTCCTGGTTGGGGGTCGTACCCTTAAGGGCCTCGTAGAGCGGGCGCATTACGTGAGCCGCTTGTCGAATGAACCGATGGTAGAAGGTAACCATACCGAGGAACTCACGGAGCCCCCGGGCCGAGCGTGGGCGTGGAAAAGTGGAAACGGCGTCCACCTTCGAAGGGAGGGGGGCAGCCCCCTCACTGGTGATGAGATGCCCGAGGAACTTTATGGACGGCACCCCAAAAACACACTTAGCCGGGTTAATGATCAGCCCGTGCTGGTCGAGCCGTGTAAAAAGAACTCGGAGATGTGTCAGGTGCTCCTCCTCCGAGGAGCTGGCGACGAGGACATCGTCCAAGTAGACGAAGATGAAAGGCATGTCCCTGAGTGCCGAGTCCATTAGCCGCTGGAACGACTGGGCTGCGTTCTTCAGGCCAAAAGGCATTCTGAGGAACTCGAACAGCCCGAAAGGAGTCACCACTGCCGTCTTCGGTATGTCCGCCGGGTGCACCGGGACTTGGTGGTAACCCCGCACCAGATCCACTATAGAGAACACGGACTTCCCCGCCAAATGTACGGAAAAGTCTTGAATGTGGGGCACCGGGTAACGATCGGGCGTGGTCGCATCATTAAGACGGCGGTAGTCCCCACACGGACGCCACCCACCGTCTGGCTTCGGAACCATGTGGAGTGGTGAAGCCCACGGGCTGTCAGAACGGCGAATGACGCCAAGTCGTTCCATGTTGGCGAATTCAGCCTTGGCAGTCGTCAACCTCTCCGGATTGAGCCGCCGGGCCCTGGCGTGGATAGGAGGGCCTCTGGTTTCGATGTGGTGTTCGACTCCGTGTTTAGCCGTAGCAGCCGAGAAAGTGGGCCGCGTCAGGTCAGGGAACTCCATGAGGAGCCGCAGGTACTTGTCACCTTCAGCGAGCGAGCTGGAGAGACCATTGTATGTCCCCTCATCACGGACACACGCGAATGAGGAGAAGGTCAAAGCGTCCACCAGGCGGCCATTTTTGACATCCACGAGTAACCCCTGGGCGCACAGAAAATCTGCACCGAGGAGGGGAAACGAGACATCGGCCGTGACAAAGTCCCATGTAAACCGCTGGCCCCCGAAACATACGTCCACAGACTTTGTGCCATATGTCCGGATAGGGGTGTCATTGGCGGACGTTAAGGGCGGGCCATGCAACCCCCCAGCAGCATCGTCCACTGTAGCCGGCAGAACGCTCCTCTGGGCGCCAGTGTCACAGAGGAACCAGCGCCCGGACAGGGTGTCCACAACAAACAGCAGCCGGCCCTTCGCGCCTGCGCTCACGGCCACTACTGAGCGCAGGCCTTGGCGTTTCCCGTCGCGTTGAAACTGCATGGGGAGCGGCACCTCTTAGCTTTGGCCCCGAAACGTGCATGGAAGTAGCACAACCCAGGGCTGGCCGGGCCGTCAGTCACCATGCGCCCCCTAACAGGCAGAGCGGCCGCAGCAGGGGGGGTGTAGCTGCGTGTCGGGGCCAACACGTCAGGGACGAAACGATGGGTGGCCAGGAAGAACCGGTCCGCCTCCTCCGCCAGAGCACGTGGCTCCGTAATGGCTGTATTCGCGAGAGCCGTCTGCACGTGAGGTGGCATGTGTCGCAGAAACAATTCCACAAAGAGGAAATTTGGCTCTTCACTGCCCAGCAGGTTTAACATCACCTCCATGTGTTCTGAGGGCTTGCTATCCCCCAGGCCCTGCATAGAAAGGAGGCGTCGGGCCCGTTCGGATCGTGACAGTTCAAAAATCTTCAGCAGATATGCTTTAATCCCCGCATACTTCCCGTGGGCTGGAGGAGAAGTAATGAAACTCACTGCCCTGGTCGCCGTGGAGCTCCCGAGCGCCGAGACGACATGGTAATAGCGCGTGTCATCGTCAGTAATTCCACGGAGGGCGAACTGAGCCTCCGCCTGAGCAAACCACGTTGCGGCGGACGTCTCCCAAAACTCAGGCAGCTTGAGAGCGGCGGACTGCGCCATACTGCTTTGCTCTGTATCTTGATCAGTCCCAGAAACTTCTGCGGGACTGACGTCGGGGTCACCAATGTGGTGCGTAAGGAGCGGAGTCGGAGGCGGTGTGTCAAACAGCGGTGACAAACGTACACGTTTTAATGCCATAAAACAGCCAGTGTAACAGAACTCCTCACACAACCAAAAACATTTCTTCTCATGGGAAAACTGTGCAACCGTTTTACCTGTCCCCCCGGAACCCCACCAGAGTAACCACAGTTCCATGGGTGAATTATGTAAACCACCACAATACAACCTTTTTTTTTAATTATAATTTATTCATCAACAAGCACAATGGAACAACAAGAAAATGGAAAAAATACATGGCTGCAAATATGCAGGATTGTAGCCAAGGTTACATTCCATGCTCAGTCTATATGGGTGGAAATTTGCCCTCGTTAGTTGGAGAAACTATTTCTACAATATTCATTTTGGGTCTTGATGTAAATATTTAACGCAGAAAAAAACAAGGCTTTCAATAGTAATAATAATGATAATTCACATGGATTCCTATACTGCTGAAAACAACATACTATTCTCAAATTCTGCAGCTGCTCCATTCATGGGCAGGAGTGTGGTCCTACTTGATATGTGGAAAAATGTCCTTTCAGTGGCAGCGGAGATAATGAATTGTGGATGGCAGGTAAAACAAATGAGTCAATCAATGGCTCACAGCATGAAAAGGTTTCTAGGGATCTGCGACTCATCGGTGTGGCTGTTATCTGCTGCAGCTAATGCTCCTCTCGCTGGGGACACGTAAAACAGCTTCAGGTGGAAAACCGGGGAAGGATAGAGACTGGGGGGTTGTGGTTGGGCGCTCACTGCCACCAAGTGGAATATTCAGCTGCCTTAAGAGTGCACACTTCACATATATCCCCTCTCACACAAGGATTCCCAGAACAATTCGCTTTCCTGGTTTGTCTCTTACAAGGCATACATTTCCATTTAATCCCGCTCAGTGCTCTCACCTCCTGTGTCCTACTTTCAGCTGTCCAGAATTAAAAGGCTGCTCTGGCCACTGGTGCAATTAACCTGTGAAATCCCCTGTACTGTCTGGTGGTAAGATGCAGGAACAGGGACCAGGGCTTCTCAAACACTGTGGATTTGTATGCAAGTCAGTGTAATAGCTCACTCCATCTGCACATTCTGTAAACAGTGCTTTAGTAGTTTTGAGTAAAACATTAGAATTGACATATGACATGACAAGATATGACAAGTATGTTTTAAGGTTTTCAGTGTGTAAAAGATGGGACTAAAAATGACCATGTATGTAATATGATCCATCCCAAGAACTTGTTTGGTTCTATTGCTTGTTTTCACGTACATGGCTTTGTGGCCGTTTTCACATCTTTAATTCTTCATTGGTTATGTTTACAAAATCAATAATCAAGCATTCGTGGAGAGTTTTAATGTTCATTGTTTGTATTTGTGACTTTAATAATCATGAAGTTATGTTTACCATGTAAATTGTTATACAACCTTTTTTAATTTTAATTTATTCATCAAAAAGCACCATAGAAAATAAAGAAAATGGAAAAAATACATGGCTGCAAATATGCAGGATTGTAGCCAAGGTTACATTCCACGCTCAGTCTATATGGGTTGAAATTACAATACATACTTTTTTCAATATGATTTTAAAAGGCTCCTTTGATTGAAACAAAACTGGACAAAAGCTATTATGCTTTGTATTGTGGACTGGGTTTAATCATATTTACTTTTTATTGTATATTGCATTCAGGGTCCAGTCTGTATGGTATGTAAAAGGTGTTACTGTTTTCTTGATAAAATTAGCTTTAAACAATGTATAGCATACCATATTGTCATATTTAGACTCTCAGTGGGGGCTGAAATGACATTAAAGTTTGATATCCACAAGGAGGACTTTATTTGTGGCCCGGAAAGGGCCCGCGGGCTGCATGGTTATGACAACTGGTATAAACCTCTGATGAAAATGGCAAATGACGTGGAGGTCCAGGGTCGTGGGTTTCCGTAGCATTCATATGGTTTTATACCCAGGCAAAATACAGAAGTTCCCCTAAGGACCTGCCACGTCGCTGATAAATAAGTTTGCTTCGACCTTCAGATAATCAGAGCATTAAGTGGAAAATCACTGACTTCTGCATAATAGTGTGATGACTTGCTTTGCCCGCCCCCACCCTCCGTGATGGACTCCCCCATCACCTCTGTGGAGTCCTATCGTTTCCTGGGCACCACCATCACCCAGGACCTCAAGTGGGAGCCGACCATCAGCTCCCTCATCAAGAAGGCCCAGCAGAGGATGTACTTCCTGCGGCAGCTCAGGAAAGCCAAGCTGCCTGCACAGATGTTGGTGCAGTTCTACACGGCCATCATCGAGTCCATCCTCACCTCCTCCATCACCGTGTGGTTCGCTGGAGCCACAGTCAGGGACAAACAGAGACTACAGCGCATTGTGCGCTCTGCAGAGGAAGTGATCGGCCGCAGCCTTCCATCGCTGCAGGACCTGTACGTCGCCCGAGCTCGAGGCCGGGCTGGTCATATCACAGCCGACCCCTCTCACCCTGCACATGGACTATTCCAACCACTCCCCTCAGGCAGGAGACTGCGGTCCATCAGGACTAGAACCTCCCGCCACAAGAACAGTTTCTTCCCCTCTGCTGTTGGACTCTTGAACACTTCTTAACCTGTCCCCCCGCCCTTTATGAAGTCACTTTACTGCCCATCATACGTCACTTTACCTCACTGTACTGCTGTCACCTTACATTGCGTGCACCATGTGCACTTGTATATTGTAAATAGTAACTGTAACTCTATTTTAAATTTAAATTTATTCCTTAGAAGTGTTTTTTATTCTTTATTTTTTATTATCTCTTTCTGACTGTTGCACTGAGCCAAAGCAATTTCCAAGTCTGTGACTTCCTGTTACTTACGTGGAAATACAAATTATTCTGATTCTGAACATACTTGCATACAAAAGATCAGGGGCCGTATTCCTAAAGATTCTGAGAGTCCTCTCAGAGAGCTCTTATCTTAACCTAAAAACTCCTAGCTAGGAGTCTTAGCTTAAAAGTTATTCCAGAACACTCTTAGAGAACTCTGAGCAAGGAATTGACAACAACTTTTATCTTAGTGAGGAGGCGTGGCCGACCCCGTTGCTAGGTATGAGTCATCATTTCAGACGCTGTGATTGGTTGATCCTAAAAGTTAGAACAAACATATTTTTGATGATAATAGGCAAAATAAGGGCCCTAAAATGGACAAACTCAATCATGGAATCTAATCTTAGGAACACTGTGTTATTGTAAATAATAACCAAAAGCTATAAAGTCAGATATATCAATGGTACATAAATACTGTGAATAGTAAAGTTAGACTTATACACCATCATCAGAGCTTGCTCAGCACCAATTTATCACACATAATACGTATATATCATGAGCACTTATAATTTTATATATATATATATAATTTAAATATTACTCTATATATAATATACATGATAAAGAAAATTATTATTATAAATATTATATGGATAAATTATGATAATGATAACGTTAGGATTAGTAAAGGCTGTGATATGTATAGACTTATAAGGAATTAAGGAAACAATATTAATATAAACATATTATACATACAGTACACTGTACAAATCAAGTACAAGGGAGCTTAAAAGTCTTATCCTCTCCCACTCCTTTTTGAGCTGGATTGTTGTTAATAAAACAAAACTGTATATTTGTACTTCTATTCTGTTGTTGTTTTGTTTGTTTTGTCTTTTTTTTTCTTGTTTGCCATGGCTCAAAATAAAGTATTCATTCATTCGTACTGAATGTGTGACAATTTAGGACCACTTTTTCCTCTCTTTCAACTTTTACCATTTCTACTTACTTTTGTGTAACAAAGGTAAAATGGATGAGGTGTTATTGCTGACCAGCCAATGAGAAGCTGGTCACATGATTGACTTTTAAATATACCACAAACATGATTCCTGCTTGAATCTGTAGCGTTTCACTGATTCACTGTCATCCAGTGTATGGAATATTTCTCCTGTCTCCACCGTCCACCATTTTGTGCTCTTAGGGAACTTTTAAGTCGCTAAAAGTCCTCCTCTCAACTCTTAAGGGATCTCCCCTTAAGAGCACTCTTAAGAGCTAGGATTTTTTAGGAATAGCTTTTATCTTAACTAGGAGCTACTCCTCACTTTTAGGGGAAATTCTAAGAGTTGGTCAAGATTCTAAGAAAATTCTTAGAATTTGGCCACTAGGAGCAACTTTTAGCAGTAAGAATCTTTAGGAATACGGCCCCAGGTTGCTGTCCCAGCGATGCTCCACCAATAGATTAAAACAATCCTTTATTCTTTGCGCCATTCAATGCCCAACTCTCAGGACGAGAGGGGAGGGGTAGAAATAGTATGCGGCAATTGCTCAAGATTTAAATTAAAAACATCTTAGGTTTACTTTGCTGTTCGTATATATTGTTATTAATTCTATCGATTACTGTATGTGTGTCTATTGTTAAAAATGCTTAATTTATATCAGATTCAGTTTCAGTTTATCTATCATTAACAGCTAAAGAAAAAAAACACATTAGATTATCCATGCAAAAATAACTAGTGTGCAGAATAAACAAACAAAAAACTAAAGCAAAAAAAAAAAACACACAACAATGAACACTGCAACAATTTGAAAAGATGGTAGATATTTAAACATGTCTACCATCATCAAGCAATTATTTACTTCACATGTGACCAATGATAGAAAATGTGTTTATTATGGCTCAATCCTCTGTTGTCTCTCCTAGGTGTACATGCGGCCCTGGATGGACAGGTGTGGACTGTGCCGTGGATGTGGATGAGTGTGAGTCGGACCCCTGTCTGAACGGAGCGCGGTGTCAGGAGTCACATGTACCTGGAGAGTTCCACTGCACCTGTCCCCCGTTCTACCGCGGAGCCGTGTGCAGCCAGCCCTTCCATCCCTGTGACCCCCCACACAACCCCTGCCAACACCACTCCACCTGCCTGACACGCTCCGATGGAACGGCCGTGTGCATCTGCTCAGCCGGTGAGTGAGGCCACCTTCGCCTTCCACAGCACTGCAGACATGAGGGGCTTTTCACATGGAATGGAGAGCTATTGAAACTGCTTTATTGAAAAGAGCCAAACAAAACAAAACAATTTATATTAAAATAATACAAGGACATTAGAAATCTGAATGGTCACAGTACATTAACATTTGTTGTTGGTAATTTATAATGACTTTCAGAATTTAATTTTAAACAATGCAATTTATTTTATAATACAAAGCACAAAATATGATATACACTTGATCTTAAATCATTGACTGAATTATTCATTGTTCAAAATGCATCTTAAACTGTAGGCTAAAAACAAATTTTCCCCTGAAAAAATGGGGGTTCACTTTAATAATCCTGTTTCTTCTGTAGCTTATTGTGCTAACTGCGTCTGTGGAAGAGTTAATTTCCTTTGTATTTGTTGGTTATTTATAGAGAATATTTGCTGCAAAACTAGGACAAGGCCGAGATGAAAATCAGTAACCTAGTTATCAAAACTGAATGCATTTGACATGGCAACAAATTGACCCTTGATTAAACATATTTGTACAAATATCATTTTTATATTTCTTTATTTCTTTTTCTCTTGTTTTTAATTTATTAAGTGAAGCTATTTGGACTTAGGACCTCTGAACTAATATTTCAGTGATACATTAATACATTCTTTGTTGGGTGTTGTCTCATGGCATGTCAAAGTGAGACAAATCAAAGATTCTATTGTCGTTGAGAAGCAGCACTGATATTTAATGGTGTAATCTGTACATGTTCTTGCAATGTGCTTAGAATAATCATCATGTGAACCTGTTTTTAGATTCTCAAAAGGACATAGTGAATCATTGTGTCTTTTAAGTGCATAAGTAAGGGGCTTAAATGGTATAGAAGAAAGTTATACCTAATGGTTCTATCAGTGCAGAGATGAAAAGATGTTGCCAGATATAAATAGAGCGACTGGGTTGGTTTCAGAAGCTTCCTTGGAGAGGAATAGGAAATTAGGTGCTGGCTGCATACATTACAGCGAGAGCTTTGCGTGGGCTTGGTCGTTTTCACTTCACACAAGCATTGTGACTCACACTATTATTATTCACCATAAATCCATCCTACAGAGCTACTACTCAAAAACACAAAACTGTTATACAACCCCTAGCTTGATCCCAGTAAAACAATTTTTCAGACTTGTTATTTACCATATATTGTAGGTTATTTGTCAAGGAAATTGTGTAGGCTTCACATTATTCCCAGACCTAATTAAATTAGAATTTGTCTGCTTGTCTCCGGCAGATTTACAGCCATAAGCAAATCTCATCCCACACACAGAGGACAGGCACCTCACGGTAAACATTATCAAGGTTAACCCGTTATAAAATCAGCAGCAATTTACTCCTCCACCATGTGGTGTGGAGGAAGGACAGTGTGGTTGGTTTGCTTTAATATTGGAAACATGTAGTTTTGGTGGTTGTTATTATTATTCTTATCATTGATTATATACAAGCAGTTTGTAAACAGTTGGGCGGTGGACATCTATCGCTGTAGGTTCTTCAAAGATATAGAGACTGTTTGGAGAGCAGTGGTAGTTTACAGTATTTACTACGGCTGTGGCAGCTGCACATCACTGAAGCCTGGGGCAGACACATGTTGATAAAGATAAGAGAACCATTATGATGCTGCTGTTATGTAGTGTGCACGGCAACACTGGCATTCCTCCACTGTGCGACAAAGGGTTTTGGATGCTTATATACAGTAAATAGTTAATTGTTAATACAATGTAGAATTCTGTTTGCTCTATACAAACAGCGAGATTTCATAAAATCGAATAATGTACAATTAGTTTTTTATTTATTGAATCAAGATTTTTCTCATTTATTGCAAGATGCATTCCAAATTACATATTAATTTGTACATGTGTAATAGAAAGGAGAAATTGCTCTTCTAAATAGAAAAATCATTTACCCCTGCTATATTCAAAGCCCTTTTTTGTAACGTATTCGGTTTCATGCCCTGGACACTTCACTGTCACTCTTGCAAAAAAGGTGATGTTGCAACCTTTGTATTAGTTCAATAGAAGCTAAAAAGGAGTCTGCTGGGAGCTGTTTAAGGAGATTTGTAAAGTCACAATGAAACTGCATTTTGTCTACAAAGGTTTTGTGTGAGACCTGCAGGCCAAAATGAAAAAAAGGTTGAAAGAATCTTCTTAGTGAAAATGTAAAGACAATTTTACAGTCAACCTGATTACCGTAGCTCTTGTGGGGAGATTTTGTTCTCCGCTGAGACTCTGACCAGGAGGCCTAAGTCATCTTCCCTTGACCAGCACAGATGTTCCACTTCCCCCTTAATGAGCGTGCCGCAGCAGGGAGTGCCAAAGCTGATCGAGGAGTAGCCTGGAAACTGAAAAGTGCGAGCAAAGGTTGGGGTGAGGGTCACTGGCCGACAACCACAACAGATGAAACGAACACGCACTGCCTCGTTCTGCGTGGAGTAAGGGAGAGTAAATCCATGGCCCATATAACACAGTGCCCTTGGGCAATGTTAGCTGTTGTTTAACCCTTTTTTCTAAGTATTAGAATTTCTAAAAAACTGCTTTACTTAATAACCTGTTATTCAAGAATAATGTTCTACTTTGTATTTTATTTTTGTGTTATTAAGTCAGATTCTGTGCTCACTGGTGTTATAATATGATGAATACTAAATTATGTAACAAATACTTTATTTGTAAAGACTTTTTATTTCTCGTCAGTTACCTCCAGATTTTTTTCTTTTTTGCTTTTGCTGCTTTTAAATTTTCACTGAAATCTCTAAAAACCGGCCATTAGTTCTAAGATCCCCCTACACATAAATGTATACATTGAGCTTCTTTTTCTTCGATGATTTGGCTTGAGTGTTTAAACGTGTTGGTGCTACGCTGTAACCATTGCATGATACCCAAGTCATACAAAGTGTAGAAAAATGGTTGGGTATAAAAAGCTTGTGGCAGTGTAACCTTTTCAGTGTGACTATAATTTATTTGGCACATTCCCATAATTTAAATAGAGCCATTTAAATGTTACATATAGTGTGGCTCAAGTACTTTACATGAGCTGAAGAGATATGATATGCACATAGTGAATTAATTCTCAGGCATTGTGGTCTCTTCACATGAACAACCCATTTGGTCTAAATGCTTCTGAATATCCCCAGAGGTGTCTCTGGACAGATGGAGTACAAACCTCCTCATATTTGCATGCCATGCTACACTAGCCTTCACCTTCCACAAGATTGAGACAGCGTCCTACCAAACAGTTGGTTAATGAGCGACCAAGTGCCTGTGCCAACCCTGGCAAACAGACACACTTCATTTTTGTTTTTGGAGACACACAAAATGAGTTCATTAACACATCCCATTGAGGACCTTAAAGTAATCATTCTCAATTGTAGATTGTACAGTAGATGCTGATTCATGGTGTGGAGCATTATAGTGAGTAAATACCAATTAGTATCTGCAAAAAAATAACATATAATATTTAAGACCTCTTGTCAAAGCAAATGATTATGATAAAATTGATTGATAAAATTGATTGATAAAATGGATTGATTGATTGAAAAGAACTATTGTACTGAAGGTGAATAATCAGCCTTCCTCATGAGATATTAGTACATAACATAGAAGAATCTCTGACTCGCTGCATGTAATCCACTGTGACATTTGTAGGAGCAGTATTTTGTTATGTTCAGGAAACGTGATGTCAGTGAAGGAAATATTGATATGGAGTCTGTGTAGCAGGTCGCGGCATAGAACACCCCCCTTCTGCGAGCCGAGGTTTCAGAACACTGCTAATGTTCTATTGCTGGAGCATTTTTATTCTACAGTTTTTGCTTTGAGACCTCTGTTTTGAGGCCTGAGCAAGAACTGCTTTCAAAAGAAAGAAAAGCATCAGTGAGCACAGTGGAATAACAGTTATAAACGTTTAACCCATATTCACTGCTGCAGCTACAAACAAGAGCAGTCGGAAAATGCTGCCCGATGCATCTCACATTTCAACCCAGAGTAGGTCCAGCCACACATAATGTGTCATTTATGCATCTGTAAATGCAATATCTACAATAACTAGCTAAGTTTGCCAAGAGGTCTGCTATTAAGTATTTTTAGATAAAGACATTTATGTATGTTCCAAGTGATCCATGAATATGGAAGAATAACAGACAAATCCATTCTTATAATGATGAGAATGGAATTGTATACGTTCACCTATTGAGTGCAAAAAGATGCAGAGATGTGTGTTTCTTTATTTTTTACGTTTTATATCATAGGTTTTTTATTCCCTGTTTTTTGCCAGCTGTTGGCAGAGCTGGCAGGCAACATTGAGGCGCATCAAGCTCCACCAATCAAATGGCTGAGGGCGCCCCATGTGTAGCCTGGGAGGCAGTACTCACTGTGCACAGCCACCAAAGCTCTGTCTACATGTGAAAGTGTGTCACTGTGAGGGAGGCAAACGCCAATGGCAACGCAACCTCTGTGAGCAACAGGCAAATGCAGTAACCGTACTTCTTCTATTTATTCTGATGTTTTCAGCCAGTACAGGGCACTATGGTTAACATGTGTTCTCATTATCTTGTTGATTGTTTTCTGTATTGATTTTGAAAATAAATCTTAAACATACACACACAAACTCACCAAATATATTCACATATCGCTGTTGAGACATTGAAAGTTGGAAGAAAATATTAACCTTGATAGTTCTGATCGTTTCTAACTTCCGGCTTCAAGCAGAACCTGAAATGTGGTGTATACGGGCCACACAACTGAAGCGAGAGCGCAAGGGAGCAAGAGAGTGTTCAAGACATTCTTCCTCATAACTGAGGCCCTCGTTTTAGAACAACTGGCTCTTGGACCATCCTGCATGTATCCCTGCCCCAATCTAAATCCAATTGAGAACTTTTGGGGATGGATGACATGGGAAGTTGAGAGGTAATGACAACAGTTCGAAATGGATTCCATTTGTGTGGCCTTCTTTACCACTTTTCCCTGGGAAATCATAATCTCTTATGCTGCAAGTAGTAGGCCAAGCAGTGGTACATTTAAAGGGGAAAAACACTAGCAGGAATTGTCACCTGGGTTACATTTACACTTTTCAGCATTTATCAATCTGGAAGTGAGCGTACGGTATGCACAAAATATACGCCGACTCTGGAGGTGGTGTACATTTTACACCCATCTCAACCTTCATCTCAACACGCGAATAACATGCATGCAATTCAAGATTTGGACAACAATAAACATATTCCCACTCTGGCATTATCATAGGCACACCTCTCACATTACAAATATGCAATTTTGAAGTTATGTTAGGGCTAGTTTGTGTTATTAAATAACGTGCAAGATGTCAAACTCAAAAGTCTCTCACAAATGTGTGGATTGTTATATGCACCTAATCAGTGCGCAATGGCATTTGGTTCATGCGGGTCCAAGCAAAGACGCTCGCCACCGTGGATTTGAGCAGAGGAAAATGGCTCTGGGACGTACAGGGGCACGCTCTTGTACCTCCTGGTACAAGTGTGCCACATGATCTTGGCTCGGTTCACCACAACAGGCACAGGACCACGGTGGGCCATGATGCACTGGAGCAGCCCATGGATGAGAGACCATGGCCAGCACCGCCTTCGGCCTGTACAGCTCAGACAGGCTCTCATTCAACCATTTTAAAATAATTATCACATACATAATTTGAACATAATTTTATTTCTTAATATTATCTTTTGGATGCTTTGGTCTGGCGGTTCTCCCCCTGGGCTGCTGAGCACTTCTTCTATGAGCTGCTAAACGCCTTTTTGTTATCATTCATAGGAGTGTGTGTTACAGCCCCCACGCTGTTTATAGATGCTTTCCATATTTTCTTTTTTGAGCCCCCTTGATGCAAATTTTGAGGCTTCCAAATTTTTTCCCACTTTGTTCATGATGGTCTCAACCTTCTCCTCCGTGAAGTTTTTTTTCTTTGCCGTTTCCTCTCAATTGTTGTAAAAAATGGGGCGTGAAACAGGCAGTTGCTGCATATTTCTAGGTGTGACTTTCATAAATAAGTTTGTTTTCAACCGTTTCAAATATACACCTTTTTCTGCGCAAGTTTCATAAATGAGGGCCATTGTGAACTACTGAAACGTCTTTACCAACAATACTGTGTGTGATCATTGAGATAAAAGTACATTTAATGATGAATGTTTTTAATATTTTAAAGGTATTTAACTTCCTATAGCCCTAACGCTAGTGTCAGCTCTGAGAAAAGCACAGTTAGCAGTTCACATATGTCACAGTATAATGCAGAGATTTAACTGAGGCTGGTTTGAGGTGTGACAGCGCAGACAAAGCCCATTATCTATACTGTGCCAGAACTGTAATATAACATGAGGCTTCTCTTCTTCGCAGCGGCCCCATCTGCATGACAGCCTCTCCGATAAGAACACTATAGACACAAATGTCGTGGTCCAAAGTAAATTCTCACTCTTAAAATGAAGACATCAGTCATCTTTCAATTGAATTGTCTATCAAAGTTAGCTGTGCATCCACAAGGGATTACATACAATTTCTTTTCCATGGAGACGTTAACTGGCAGGAGCTGTGATCACACCATGCAGCTGGAGCCAATGATGGAGGGACTGCACCTGCCTGGGGTATCCCTCTGTACTCTGTCAGGGAACAGCCTCCAGTCACTGCTTAGCGCCACAAGATGCATTACGTTGCTGTGACATTCGGAATAGTCCCTGAGGTACTCTACCATTGCTTTGAGTGACAGGGCGGCTGGGGAAACCTGCACTGTCCCATAATTCACCAGATGCTCAGTGCTCTGTGGTCCTGAGGATTCCCTCTCTCTCACTCATCCTAAAAGACACTCATCTACAGAACGCTGGTGGCATGTCACTTCATCTATAGTGACATAAAAGGCCATATTTTAATGTGAGAGAGTAAAAGTATAAAATAAGAAAGCATACAGCAATGTGAAATGTAGTGTTCATATATTCAACTTCACAAAAGGTCCACATGTTGACATGTCACGGCCACAAGACCAGCTCAGGGTGGTAGACAAATTAGAAAAATGTGTAAGCAATATATGAACATAATTTAATTATTATTATTAATATTAATTAATTTTTGCGGTATTCAACCACTCTTTTTCTTTGAGGGGAAACAAGTTTCGTGATGACTCATGGTCAAATGTCAACCTTACTATAGCAGTAAGTATAGTTTAGAAGGAGATGCTGCAAACCAATTAGTTAATTCTCCGCCATTGATGTTTATGTTTGTTCTTGGCTATTAACACCTTTTTCTTCACACGGCTGTGAAACACCCATCTCACCGGGCAGCGTATCTGTTCTGTTCCACTCTGAAGGCCGTTTCTCAACGCTAGCATTTTCATCACCCCGAAACACCGTCTTTGTGTAAACTACAGGCCAATTCGATACCGAACTCTACCGTTTTACCGTCACAACGTCCTCGTGTAAATGGCCTCTCATGTCGTTTAAACACTCTATAATTAGCTGTTCTGTGATCAAGAGATTTGACAACATTGGTCTCTGAACAGGATCATGAATAGAAGCTTAAAGCATGGCTAGATGTTGTTGTGTATGAATTGTGCTATACAAATAAACTTACCTTGCCTCTTCAATCAGCCATCAGGGTGTAGTAAGAGGATGGCACAGCTGAAACCTACCGACACGTCTGTGTGTCCAAATCAACAGGTTGAACAAGGACAGACTAAAACATTAAGGACATTAACCAAAACTACCTGGGGGAAAAACAAAACGTACTCATGTGTTCATACCTTGATTTGAACCTTTCACTAATTTTTGGCATAGAAGTGCCTACTCATAGAAGTCACTTGGTGATAGAATTCTATATGAAACCCTCTCTTAACAGAGAAGTAAAGTATAGGCTCATCAACGTAACTTTACAATAAAAGTAAGTACTTCAGGATATGTTCTGTAATGTAGAAGAATGCAGGAAAGTTTGTTATTTTAGAATAGATTAAGAATATTTATATTAAAAATATGAATTTACCAATAAAACATTCACCTACTCATGTGTCAGGCAAATACAAACACTGCTTGCAAGAGTTAAATAGCTGTTATAAGAGGGACGGCTCCAGGGGCAGACCATTACTGTGTCCCATGCCTCTGCTCTCAACTGAATACTACAAAACATTTGCGCTGATCTGCTTAGCCATTGCTGCCCTCAAACCCCTAATGAACCAGGCCAACACACCTCCTGGGCTTTACCCTCCCCTGGATTACCCCATCTGTCCCCCCCCACACTACCTGCCCACTACCGCCTCCCAAAGCCCAAACCACAAACCCTCACACCAATCTGTCTGCACCACTAAAGTATTATTAGACTTGCACTGTCTCACAGGGGGGAACAGTGAGGGCTCGGAGCTGGAAGATGAGATATGCTACAGAGGCTACTAGTTCCATTAAAATGGCATTCACCTGGGCCTTTTGTTATCTTTGGGCATAGCATTTTGCAGGCAGTCACAGAGCTTGTTGATCCATGACCATCTCATCTATTTTTGCAGGATTTGAAGGAAGTTGGTGTGAAATCGACACCAATGAATGCACCTCAGATCCGTGTCACAACGGTGGCTTCTGTGTGGATGGGGTCAATGGTTACAGGTAAAAATTAATATTTAATATTTTACAAAAATATAATGCAATGCTTTACAATAAACTGAATAAACTCGCCAACTATCCAATTATAGTGTGAACTTTTGTGTCCCAATCCCCTTGGGACAACAGTTATAAATTAGGCCATGGCTATATCGTGACGCATTCATATACGTTTGAAATTAGACAAAAATATATGTACGTTTCCCAAAATGTTCATTTTGAAACAAAAAAAACAATAATTTTGATAAATTACCTTGAGCTACAGGATTTGTGCAAACAAACACTTGTGTTGACTACAGTTAATTTTTTCCTGACTTTAGCTTTATTTCCCTCTCCAAAAGTTTGGAGACCTCCTGCGTGAGGCCCAGTTGCCATAGTGAGGGCTTCGCAAAACATACTATCTGTAATTTGTGCATTTAACATAAACTCAAAAGATATATACCAGAGACAGCACTGTTCATCAATGACAACCAACCATCTGCAACTGTGTGCTACTACAGGACAATCAACAAACACTCCTGTCATCTGCAGCCTGTTTGATAAAATAACATTTCTTTCATTTTGTAAAGCACCCTTTTGGATTTCATTTGAGTCAAATTGTTAGCATTATTGTCAAGGAAATAAAATTATAATTGCTTGTGTTTATCAATTCACTTTTGAGACTTAAAACTTTGTTAATCAGGGAAAATACTAAGTTGTTGTTCAGGCAATGAGACAAAATAAAACGTGACATTCATGTAATTAGAGAGACATAGATTTCTAACATTTCTATTCAAAAGGATCTTGGAGACTTATGTGAGAAGCAAAATATCAATATCTATTTTCTTCCCCAGATGTGAATGTAAGATGGGATTCTTTGGCCTTCAGTGTGAACAAGATGTCGATGAATGTGCTTCCAACCCGTGTCAAAATGGGGCTACCTGTCAAAACCTTGAAAACATGTGAGTATAAAATGGTGGAAGTGTTTTCATTTTTAAATACAGTTATAATGCTCATAGCTGGAATACAAATTCAGACTTAAGGTATACTTAAGAATACACATTCATGCTTTACGTTTTTCTTTATATTTAAGGGAAGTCCTGCTATAATGCCATAGCGTTTTTTTATTATTAGATTTTCATTATTTGTTAAGCCTGTTGGATATTATTTTTAATGCTCCTATTTTTGCTTGACAACTTCCTAGCAACCTGAGCCAATCCACATAGACAGTCTCAAGTGTTACACAAATTAAAGAATAAAAAGAAAAAAGGCTGTTTACTTTTCAATTAAAGTTATTGGGAGCCAAAGCTTCACCCATTAAGACTAGGCTTCATAAAGCTAGTAGATTAGCTATTTCTATAAACAATCTATAGTTTAAAGTAGCATCCAACAGTATTTTGTCTTTAACAAGCCTATTGAGGGCTCAATTCATGTGGATTCAGCAAGACTGCATCATGTATTGGGCTGCATTGCACTGCTGTGTGCTTAATGGGAGCCTGGGGGCTTCGAGGCTTTGGTCAGACAGATGGGTAAGCCTAGTCCCTTGGCCAATTTGAGTCCTAAATGGTTTGTCTCCACTTTGTCTACCATCATGATTTGCCTCCCATGTGAAGTGGCCCCACGCGCTCTGCCTGCTCCCCTCCTTGCACTGTCCTGGGAGTTTGCATCAGGTGTGCTTTAACCTTTTTGTGCACCACCAGCACCACTACACAGGCTGCTGCTCCTGCTGCTATCTCTCCATCTCCCTCCACCTCGACAAGCCCAGTGGTCCATCTGAGTCCTCCCAGCAGCTCAGCCTTATCTCCGCCAAGGCTTAAATTGAGGATAGTCAGCTTGACTCTTTTGAGGTCACACACTTAGGTGCGATAACCACGTGTATGCATATGAAGACCCGCTTTATGACAATTGTAAATTTGGAATAATATGAAGAACACCATTTTCCCACTTGTCAGTTACATTTTTTTATTCGTTTCTAAGGCAAATTTTATTATATATATATGGATATGTATTAAGTGATACAGCTCCTCCCATCTATAACTAAAATGCGAGGAGATCCTTTGTATATCATGTTTGGGGTTTCATAATTCATATACATATATACATACAGTGCTTAACAACGCACACAAACTCCACACAAATTGATGTGATCATGTCTATCTTTGTATTACTCACTCTCATTCAAGCATTTTCACAGCCAATTCAATGTTCCCTCTTTGACACATCTACAGAAATACTTTGTGAAATCTTGGTGTTTATCTACCCTTCTTTAATAATGTGTTTTTTTGTTTTTGTTTTTTTCTGCTCAGGTTCCTCTGCACTTGTGTCCCTGGTTACTTCGGGGTGTGCTGTGACTTGGATGTGGATGAGTGTGAAGTTTCACCTTGCCTTCACCAGGGCATCTGTATCAACAAGCCCGGGGCCTTCGAGTGCGTCTGTCGCCCTGGATACTCAGGTAGATCTGCAGCCCTCAGGTGACATGAAGATCAATATGAGTGGCTAAAAAGCTTATCCTGACTGCAGAGGCTGTGTGTGGCTATTGAAGTAGCTCTGACATATATCTGGCTTAAAAACTCTGTCACAATACTAGCTTTTAATTATCCCACCTGCTTTGATAAGATACAGTTCACTAAAACTAAAAGCGTTGCATCCGTCACTTGTTTTATCAGAGGTAAATTCTTTATCCATTGAGCCGGGAACACTGGTAAAGACTAATGATTGGTTGTATTTGATTTATTCGACCTGACGCAAGCTTTACTTTTAACTCTATTGTTGTTATACGTCCGATCCATTTCAAGAATATTGAGCTATTTTGGTGTGTGTATGTATGTATGTAGGTGTCTGTGTGTGTGTTGGTATCTAAAGCCAATTCCTGTCAGCTTGTGGGAAGATTAATTTCATTTGTCTTCCGCACGGTATCATCAATTTATCCTTCCGCAGTTGAGAGAGGGGAGGAAAATCTCAGAGGTATTGCTACTCTGGAGAGGCCCAACCTGACACGCATGGCCCAATTCCCAGTGAAGCAGCTTTTATTATTAGGCCTACGCACGGCATAGTACAAGTCATTACTTTTTCTGTTGCTCTAAGCTCATCGGAGGAAGCCAGAGTTCCCCCAGAGAGCCAGTGCTACGGCCGGAGGATACAGTGTGGATTGGCTCAAACCGCAAGAAAAACTCGCACAAAATTTTTGCACTACAAGACAGCGTGGAACATGAGCGTTGCAACTTTTTTCACAAAAGCACAAATGCGCCCACAAACTTGTCTTCTTCAGGCCTGCTCTTAGCTTTTAGATGACAGCGTGATCCGTCAAATGGGGTTTTTGCACAGTCCGGCCACACTTAATTGATATAGTAAGAGAACAACGCGGCATTGTGTCTGCAAAGTCAAATTTATATTGCCACTGGCTACTGTTAACAAGTTTTTTTTTGTTTATTAAATGTCAAATACAATGTTGTGTAAAGATGCTGATGGTGCGTCTAATAAATAGGATGGTGCATTGTTTTCTTCTCGGTACATATGAACAGTATACAGCATAATGATGTGTCGTTTCACAATAAGAATTACTTTGATATATTGCTTGTGGCAGTCAATATGTTTAGTCTGCGTAATGGACACTATTAGATATCACTGTGTATTTTTTGTGCCTGCTGAAATGTGGTGATAACGCTAAATTGTATTCCACAGTAAAAACATTATTCAGAGGGGAATCAAGTTATGTTTATATATATATTAATGTTTCGTATTTATTTAGCACGTTTCATTATTCATTGAGTCTATGCGTCCTGTAGTAAGGAACTATTATATTAGTTATTTACAAACCACATACAGTTCAATGGGTAAAGTGTCCTGCTCCAGATAGATACATTCGCTCACTTCACTAAAAGATTACTAGGTTACGTACACATTCAACTCAGCAATTAAAAAAGAAAAACTCTGGATCTTCTCCAACAAATCTATTGTTAAATTATGATTCATTTCAGCTTTGATCTTTTTGTTTTTTGCACAATTGATACAATCTCAAGAATGTTTTTTCTCCGGAGCTATAGTAACCAATAAGGTCAGAGGTGGCTCCTGTGACATGATAAATAGCTAATTTACTTTACATAAATCACTCTGTTCGTACCCGATTTGTCACCTTTGGTTTTTCCGCTTTCACCCATCATTACAGCCAGTCCTGTGAGTGATAGGGTGGTGTAATCAGCGTATTTCGCCTCTGTCAGCACATTGAGGATGATGATGTCGTATCACTGCTTCAATGTTGTTTTTGCTGTTCTGCTCCTCTGATTTGAGGATGTGTATACTTTATAAATTAGGGCATACCTATATTACCATTTCATATCCAGGATTGAGAGTAGCCTCCTATAACTTGAAGAATGATATTGCAATTAGTGAGATTAAGTCATTTAACCTTGTATAGTCTATGTGTGCCTTTTTTGAAGTGCTTCAGGGTTTGTTTGCACAAGAAATCACTTTTTTGCTATTTTTGTGAGGTTCACATTATGAATTGTGAATAACATCAACTTCCAGAATACAGCAGGTATAAAATATTGCATAGTTGCAATTGAACTGGGTAAGATGGACATTGAAGGAACATTTTTGTGTTTTGATATTGAGAAGTGGTGGAATGTCTACTTCAGGGTTTGGGATTAGGCAGACAACCCCAAAAAGGGATGTGGCAGGTGGGTTCTTGTTCAGCTGGAAGAAGATAACATAAAGGAAGTCGAGGCCTGTGTGGCTGACTTTTTTATCAAACATAACCGCCAAATGGTGTTACAATGTTTCACAGCGACCACGCCTGTTTATTGATCATAGTTTGGTAGTAGTGAATTTGTTCCTGTTCATACATTTTTGGGAAGCATGTGTTCATCATTCATTCATCTCAACAGAGAACGTCGGTTGAAGATCCCCTAGTGACTGCACCACACTGACCCTCACCCTAACCTCATTACTGGTGCTGTTTGTTTTGCCTCCAGAAGCCTTATATGTGGTAGAGATGTGAAAACGGCTTAAGTGCTCAGCCACCTTTATTTGTTAAACTTCATGAGCTAGCTCAAAGATTTTCTTACTAAGAAGTTCTCCAATGTTTAACATCTTATTATGCTTTAATTCCTAGGAGCGCGGTGCGAAGTTAACATTGATGAGTGTGTCTCCAATCCATGCCAAAACACTGGAAGATGTATTGATGGCCAAAGTCAATTCCACTGCTTGTGCTCTGATGGCTTCATTGGACTAAACTGTGAGATCAACATTGATGAATGTATGTCAGCACCCTGTCTACATGGAAGGTAGATTTTTCTTTCATCCTCCTTCAAAGAGAAAATGTGAAAGAGTATACATACATGGCCTACAATTATGTTGAATTGGTCCTCAGCGATGATGTGCTAGAGTGCAGACATTAGTAACATTTTGTATGATCCACTTGCAGGTTGTCTTCACAGGGTTGAAATAATGAATTATGAAAAGAAATGTGCTCTCTAACAAATTATAGTATTTCTATAAGGATCTGTTTGAACGTTTATTTTTTATTGTACTCCAGAACATGAGTAATATCACATGAAAAACTATAGGATGTACATTTAGCTATTATGATTGTAATGGAACTGGAGACCCACATCAATAGACTGTATTCATCTAGTTATCTCAACATTTGTCTAATTTCACTCCTTTCCCTTTATTGAATTTTTGTTCTCCAGTTGTGTAGATGGGATCGGAATGTTCTCCTGCTTGTGTGAACAGGGCTGGACAGGCATCCGGTGTGAAGAGAACATTGATGTAAGTTTAATTAATAAACTCAGTAGGTTTTGTGCCCCCAGTAACACTATCGCCATTGATCTTTGTACATGAGGGGTCAATAGTGAGAGCAGCTTTATGTTAGCAGTGTACAAATCCCTAATTGAGGAAATTGCTCAGTCTGATAGATTTCAACACAGAATCAATCATCCTGTTTTTAGAGATTATTGAGTTTCTTCTGGAATTGGTATTTTTTGGGAAGGACCACATACCTCTGAACCCTTTTAAGCCCTTCTGTGTCTTTTAGGACTGTGCTTTTAGCCCGTGCCAGAATGGAGGCTCCTGTGTGGATCTCATTGATAAATTTGCATGTTTCTGTCCGGATGGTTTCTCGGGAAAGACATGTGAAAATGACATTAATATGTGCACGGAGTCTGCTCACAACACCACACTGTGTTTCAATAGCGGCACATGTGTAGATGGCAAAGGATCAAACTTCACATGCAGGTAAGGGAAATGATTGTGGTTTATTAATCTGTTACAATTCTACTATGTCACGCGCATGGATGGGGTCGAAAAATACATTCAGTGGGGCTATTGTGTGTACAGCTTCATGTTCAAAAGATATATCTGGGTAAAAAATGCTCTGATATCTACAATTGTAATCAATTACTGGCATATCAAGATTTCCTACAATTTTACAAATAAAGCAGGAACGCAAAACCCACGTTTTAAGTACTCACTTTCATGTCTGATTAAAAGTATCTGTAGCCCTTGGGTTTTCTTATTGTATTCTTCTGAATGGTGTTATTATTAGACTAATATGATATAATTGCCGTCCCATACTCCCCAGAGTCCTGAAGTGTACCCAAATACAAAGAGGTTGATATATAACACTGGTCCCCCATGCATTACATTTAATTGCACAGTGTCACCTTGAGCTGATCTTACCTGATATGTTCACTGTCGTGATTTAGTGCCAACTCGACTTTTCGTACCTTTCAAACAGCTTCATGCTCTTTACATTCTTGTATATTTATGAAGTGGACTTACTGAGTGCAGCACTTTTATTATGTTCCTTTTATTGTACTTCTTATTTGTGAATATATTATAGCAAAGAAATATTATAAATGTCTTTGCCTTTGCTCCGAGGACAGATGTAGTCTACACAAACACGTTTCCTAGTAAAAGTGTCCTCTGGTGTCGTGCTGATCCGCAATAGGCTGATTGTGCACGCTTTGCACTTTGCACAGTGAAGAAATCATTTCATGAACATGAGGCGGATCTGGACTATAAATTACATTTGCTGTTACTGGTGTTAAGTGTAATTATAGATATAAAAAATTCATTAGGACTTTTCTCAAGTATTAATAAGTCATTATGTCCTGACCATCAGTGAAGAAATAAGTCTGATATTGAGATGCTTGCACACAAATGTAGCTTTTGTGTGTGTAGTTGTGTGTAATTTCTTTGCTTTTGTCAGTGCATTGCCTACTTCAAACATTTGAGCAGATGCATATTATACAATCTTCCCACATTTGGTTTTAAAGTATAACCTGTAACTGGACTGGTCATGGTGGCCACATATGTTTCCTGTTAATCAGATGGCTATAGCTTAATAATAAGATCAGAATAGCACAGACATTTAGACTGTATGCATTCTTGCTCATGTCTTGTCTGACCATCACTAGATCAAGCATCAATCAATCAATCAACGTTTATTTATAGAGCGCCTTTCCTACACAAGGCAACGCAAAGCGCCTCACAACCCATATAACATCATGCATAAATCATCAAACATTAGAATTTAAGTAAACATAAAAAGACAGATTAAGAGCACAAGATATATAAAATCACACAAGTAGTTAAAAACCGTAAAAAATTAAAATCACACAAGGGATTACAATCATAAATAATCATAAATAATCATAGCGCATTAAAAAGATTAAAGATAAAAACAAATGTAAAATCATTCACTTGTATGCACAGCTAAAAAGAACTGTTTTCAGTTCAGTTTTAAAAACTGCTAGAGTAGACGCCTGTCTCACACTCTCGGGAAGACGGTTCCAGACTCTAGCTGCATGAATCTGAAACGCAGCCTCCCCATGTCTAGTTCCGACTCTTGGCACTAACAGAAGTCCAGTCCCTGTGCTCCTCAGAGCCCGAGTTGGTTCATATGGCACCAACATGTCGCGGATGTACCCTGGTGCGAGGCCATGGAGAGACTTGTACACAAGTAAAGCTACTTTAAAATCTATTCTCTGAGCCACAGGAAGCCAGTGCAGAGACCTGAGGACCGGACTAATGTGGTCGTACTTCCTGGTTCTAGTCAGGACTCGAGCTGCAGCATTTTGGATGTACTGCAGCTGTTTTACCGCTTGTTTAGAGAGACCTGTGAACAAGCCATTGCAGTAGTCCAATCGACTGGAGACAAATGCGTGGATAAGAATCTCCAAGTCTGCTTTAGACACAATGTTTTTAATTTTAGCAATGTTTCTTAGGTGGAAGTAAGCTGATGATGTCACAGATGATATGTGGCTATTGAAATTCAAGTCTGAGTCCATTATTACTCCTAGATTTCTGACCTGAGTTGAGGGTTTCAGGGAGAGAGACTGGAGGTGGCAGATAACGCTCTCTCTTTGTTTCTGAGGTCCGAAAACAATAATTTCAGTTTTTTCTGTGTTTAGCTGGAGAAAGTTATTTTGCATCCAATCACTGATCTGTTGGATACAGTGAAGGAGCGAGTCCACTGGTCCATGTTCTCCTGCTGTCAGGGACACATAGACCTGAGTATCGTCAGCGTAATTGTGATAGGACACGTTATTACTGTGTATTAACCTACCCAGAGGCAGCATGTAAATATTAAACAGGAGAGGCCCCAGGATTGAGCCCTGTGGCACTCCGCAGGTCAGGGCCAGATGGTCTGAGACACAGTTTCCGATCTCCACAAAATACTTTCTGTCCTGTAGGTAGGATATAAACCAGCTTAGGGCTGTTCCAGAAACACCAACCCAGTCCTCAAGTCTCTGAATGAGGATACCATGATCGACAGTGTCGAAAGCAGCACTCAAATCTAACAGGATAAGAACTGAGACTTTTCCTGCGTCAGTGTTAAGTCTGATGTCATTTGTTACCTTCACTAGAGCGGTCTCTGTGCTGTGGTGGGGTCTAAAACCAGACTGGAACATATCAAAAGAGTGATTGATTATTAAAAATTCTGTAAGTTGTTGATAGACAACTTTTTCTAGAATTTTACCCATGAAAGGCAGATTTGAAATGGGCCGATAACTTTTAAGTGCCAAGGCATCCAGACTCCTCTTTTTTAGGAGGGGTCTGATGACTGCCGTTTTCAGGGCCATTGGGAATGTTCCAGATTCAAGAGACATATTTACTATATGCGTGAGTGAAGGTAAAAGACTGCTCAGAACAGACTTAAGAAATCTAGGAGGTAATACATCCAGGCTACATGTAGAAGAACTCAGACTTGTAATTATCATTTGGACAGTTTCATTTTGTACTGGTGTAAAGTGTGTCAGCCCAAAAAGCTTCACTGGCTGTTGGATTGTAATTTCTACTGTGGAGGTGATGGCATTTTTGATGCCTTGGACTTTGTCATTAAAAAACTCTGCAAACTCATTACATTTGGTTTTGGAGGTAAGCTCTGATGGCATCTTAACAGGGGGATTTGTCAATTTATTTACCGTTGAGAACAGAACGCGTAGATTGCCACTACAACCTTCGATTGTTTCGGAAAAATAAGTTTCCCTCGTTCTACGTAGCACACTGTTGAACTTGCACAATGCATCTTTGAAGATCTCATGGTCAACTTGGAGATTTGACTTTCGCCACTTCCGCTCGGCTCTCCGGCACTCTCTCTTCTGTGCCCTGACAGAGTCTGCTTTTGTCCATGGCGCCTTTTGCTTATTTGTAACAATTTTGACCTTTACAGGAGCAATCGTGTCCAGAACATCCAAAACACTAGAGGTGACAGAGTTAAGTAATTCATCCACCGTAGAACACAACGTGTTATCAAAGTTTATCATCCCCATGAAAAGTTCACCTGTATTTTTGTTTATGTGTCTTCTTCTTCTAACAATTGAGGATTCAGCTCGTGCTTTACTATTGAGACACATATCAAAAAATACACAGAAATGATCTGACAGAGCAACATTGGCCACATTTACATTTGAGATATTAACCCCTTTAGTAATTAGCAGATCGAGAGTGTGTCCTCTGCTATGGGTGGGGCCACTCACATGCTGAGTGAGACCAAAGGTTTCCAGCACAGAGCTCAGCTCTTTCGCGTATCTATCATTAACGTTATCTACATGTATATTAAAATCACCTATGACGACTAAACTATCAAAGTCTGTGCACACAACTGAAAGCAACTCGGTGAAATGATCAGTGAAACTATGACATGACTGTGGCGGCTTGTACACAACAATAATAAGAATAGAAGATTGTTTTTGTTCTATTTTAAAAGAGACATACTCAAATGAGGAAAATTTCCCAAGAGGTACTCTATGGGAGACAATACAATCTTTAAAAACTGCTGCTGTGCCTCCTCCTCTTTTATTTTCTCGAATTTCTGATTCAAATTTGAAATTTGGTGGTGTTGTTTCTATTAAAACTGCATTTTCTGTATTATGGTCAAGCCAAGTTTCAGTCATAAACATAAAGTCAAGATCATAAGAACAGATAAAATTATTAATTAAAAAGGATTTATTGCATAGTGATCTGACATTAAGCAGAGCAAGGTTAAAAATAATGTCAGTGTCAGTGGGTTTAGTTGATTGACTACAAAGAATTGGAATTAGATTTCCTGAGTTGGACCGTCTAACTGCTGTCCTTCTGTTATATTTGTGTTTATTCAAATTAAAACACATTTCTGAGCATCATCCAGTGTATGATATTGCTATTGCTATATTGTTACCACTATTATCACTGTTAGAATTTTAACATAATATGATTGCATAAACAGAAATTATGTTGATTCAAGTTTCAGTTTTGCGTTATTTTGTTTGTGTTGTTATTTTCCTCTTTGCTTAAATGGATTGTTTTGTTATTATACATGAGCTCATACACCACAGATAGTGACCTATCTTCACAACTGTCTACAATCTGTCTTTTAACAAAGTGTACTTTTATGTGGAAAATGGTGCAATGTGTTCACCTGCACAAAACACTGCTATCCGCATTGCCTGCACCCTTTTCAATAAGAACATTGTAACCACATCTTTGGGTTGTATCAAAGTTACAAAAGACTACAAATCAACTTCTGTGAAATCTCCACCTTTTATTGCTTGCTCTTTGCTTTTTGTGATGTGCTAAATAGAAAATGGTAATCTATGTGAGTGAGTAGACAATTGCTTCCTGGGCCTGAGGTGTCTTTGATGAGTGATCGGGTTCATTGTCCATCTGGAAAATTACTCCCTCAAAACAAAGGCACCGGGGACAGCATCTGCACAATTTAGTGTATTTTTGTGCTGTTTTCCAATGTGAAACCGAACCAAGCTAAATCACCCACTGCAGAGAAAAACGCAAACAAATGAAGCAAACCCCAGTCGGCACATTGGGTCTGTCATTGAGTTTACCTGGATCACTGCAAAGACATTAAAACATTACAACATAAACACAAGGAAGCACAGAGGAAAATATGTATTGATTGACTGCTGCTATGACAACGACCTGATGTTACCCACCTAAGCATCAAATGTGGTAAAATACAAAGATGGTGCCTAATAGATTGATGGAAATAGTCTAAATTCCCCACTGTGGGACGAATAAAGGAATTCTTTAAGATTATATGTGCAAGGTGAGATATTATCGCTTTGACTATTACCAGCGGAATGTTGGTACTATGCTGCTGCACTCTCAATGTGTAAAGTGTAGCTTAAAGTCTTAGAACTTTTTGTTTGTTTCAGAAACATATGGTTGCAAGTCAAGACAAGCACTTTTTAGTCCACTATGCATATATTTTAATGTATCCATTATTCAAACAAAAATGGTTACCCTTGCTGATGGAAGGAGGTTGTGACTCAAAATCACACAATACATGGTCCCGTTCATTATTTCCTTTACACGGATCAATTTTCCAGGTCCCTTTGCAGAGAAACAGCCCCAAAGTATGATGTTTCCACTCCTATGCTTTAAAGTATAGGTCTGGTGTTCTTTGGATGCAACTCCGCATTCTTTTGCCTCAACAAAGTTTTTACCAAAAAGTTGTATTTTGGTCTGTCTGACCATTGGACATTCTTCCAATCCTCTTCTGGATTATCTAAATCCTCTCTTGCAAAAAAACTCTTTATCGTATTTTGCAAATATATTCTTTAAAGATTCGGCAATGTAGATTTTGGATTCTCATTTTGTCTCTCATAGTTGAGGTGTATGATTAAAATTACAGGCATCTCTCATCTTGAAACAATTGTTTGCTGTCTACTTTCCCACTGTTCCACTGTGCATTCATAAACGTGTCTAAATATACATACATATCTACAACTATACAGACAATTCAGCTCGAAAGATAATTTAAAGAAGATATCGTAGTGTCACTAATTCCATCCATCCACTATAGTAATTGAAGTTGGTGTGTCAGGCTCTTCGTACCTTGTCAAAACTTTTCAAATATTATACAAAAGTAAACACATTGAAAAGTATAAGCAGCCTATTAGTTTTAATGGGCTCCTGTTGTGCTTGTTGGTACAGTATGTAGAGACAGTTTGATATTTTGCCCATATAATCTGTGCATTGCAAACAATCTCTGGAAATGTGAGCACAACTAAAAACTGTTTGCAGCATGCAGTGTAAGTGCAAAATAACAATTCTGTGTATCTGAACAATGATCTGTTTCTCCAGCTGTCCACCTGGTTTTACGGGTGATTTCTGTGAAGTTGATTTTAACGAATGCTGCTCTGCTCCCTGTCACAACGGCGGCATTTGCCAAGATCTTATTAATAGCTACGTCTGCTACTGCAGGTCAGGTGAGTCATGGAGACGTCCTTCCAGTTTTCTCAATTTACTTCAAAATGAGGCAAGAAGCCAAAGCAGTGTTAGCCCCTTTGTAGGCACATGGCTTAACCTCAGGTCACCTTTTGTTCCTCATGTGCAACATTACAAAGCACACTGTAACACTTTGCCAGTTGACATGATGGCTGACAAGTCTAGCTGTGGCCTAGTTGTACATGAATATATAGTCCATATGTAAAGTACCCACTACTCATGCAACACCTTATGTGAGTTTGAAAGCTTCTATATGTGTCACTTAAGGTCACCATAATGCCTACATAGTTTTCCCTGCCACAAAGCCATTCAGAAATCACCCACATTTCCTCCAGGGAGTGATTTGTACATGTACAGTACAGTAACAAAAAAGACGGCTCTACTCATTAAAATGTATGAAGCATCTTACTGCTTTAGTCCAAGCCATTTCTGGGTGGACGAATGTGTGCAGACCCAAAAAGGAGGCAGATCAATGTAGGGGAGATCTGATTGATATTCACTTCAGACGCTGGAAGTGGGAGAGCCGAGGCTCACCAGCGCACTCACTGGGCTTTTGTTCCTGGCAGGTTGGACAGGCCTTCACTGTGAGGATGACATTAATGAGTGCCTTCCTCAGCCCTGTGACCAGGGGATATGCATTCAGAACGATCCGGGCTATGGCTACACCTGTTTCTGTCGTCCTGGATTTGTGGTGAGGCCCTCCCTTCACCTGATTTTTTATATCTGCTTGTCTCAACTTTCTCTTTTATTTTCTTAGGACCCTCTTGGTCTTTCATCTACTGTCCCCTCTCCTGACAATAGCCGCTCTTAAACTGCATAAGTTATTTATCAGAACAAGTCACGAATCTTTAATGTGATTAATTATGTATGGACAGATATGTCACCTTGCCAATGGTTCTCAGTTGATGTTGAGAACAAAAGGGAAAAAGGAAAACTTTCCTTCATGCTGTAATTCTTTTCTAACTATTTAGAGTTAACAACAGCAGGGGTATTGTAATTGTCCTTGTATTGTTTGTGTGTTTGTCTGTACCTTTGTAGGCAGGAATATTAAAAAGTACAGGCCAAATTCAGCTGAGGTTGTGTGTAGATAGGATGTGATGGTAGACCTCAGATAAATCAGATGATTCATGTTGTTGACAAGGTTCTCTACGATTACGCATTCTAGTTATTGGTGTTATTATCGTCTTAGAAAATGTAAATGTGCAGTGAACGGCAGGTGCTAGCAGGCCTGCCGTTTGCAAACATGTCTCAACCTTCTTAATTAGTGATTTCAGAGTAGCCAGACAGTAAGACCATCACGGTAAGCTAAGACTGTTGCAATTCCTGTATCGCTTAAATAAAGCAATGAAAAACGCAGCAGGTAATAACATCAGCTGATTTCTGTTATGAAAAATAAAAAATAAATAGGGTTTTATTCTAGAATATCTTGGATTTTTTTTTATCATTCTCACCATGCCTTGATTGCATTGAGATTTGTTATCTCAGTTTCCAATAAATGGTCTTGGAAACCTCAAAACCAGAAATGTTTTACTTAACAACATCCACTTTTTATAATAGACTGGAGTTGGACCCACCCTCTCCTCCTCCCTTTATTTACTCAAAGTACAATCTCAGAAAAAAAATAGGGTTTCCTCAGTATTTTAACACAATACTGAGAAAACCTTGTCTGGAATGATCACAAGGTTAACTTTCCCACACATTTATTTTATCCCCAAACACAAGCCTTATGAGAAAATAAATCCTATTTTTCTCGCTCTTAACATACATATTTTATTATTCAAGAAGCAAACACGTCTGAGGGCTGTTTATTTTTTCACACAGGGGAAAAACTGTGAGCACAACTATGACGATTGCCTGTTGAATCCGTGTCCGGCAGCATTTTCCTGTGTGGACGGAGTTAACGGGGTCAGCTGTGTGGCTCCTGCTTCAGATACTGTTCCCATGGAGACCACAGTCAACACCTCTTCCCCTTCGCATCCGGCTGCTGCTCTGTCCCCGCGGTCCACAGGTACACACCCATTCGACATTTCAGGAATTGTATTTGTAAGATACAATAAAATCAGATATTAAAAAAGAACAAAAAAACACTTTGTCCCATAGAGAATCGCAAAGGTCGCAGTACATAGTTCTATAATTTAATAATAAAAAAATAAATAAGAATTGTCAGTTAAGACATAATACTCTTAAAATAGATCATGAAATTACATGAAGCAATGCTGTTCAGCAAATATTCTAGATTATGTTTGCAATATATCCGCACTTTGGATATATTGGACCTTGCTTCCAGCTCTGTGTGGAGGGAGAGACAAATGCCCAAAAATAACAATTGCAAAGCGCTTTGTGACTCAGGTCTGAGAAAGGCACTATAAATTAAGATTACTTATGCACGTGTGAAAACAGCAAATGTATTTCAGAAATGTGGTCAATCCTAATGTATATGTCTAGTAGATTAAGCATCATGAAATGTGCGACTTCAATGTATGCCGTCACATTATGATATATCTTTGCACAATCATTAGCGTTGACATCTTGCACCGTCCCATCCTCTTTTAAACTGTACATTGAATATTCTGTGAAATTGTCAAATCAGCTCGATTGTGTGCACTTCCTGTTTATTCTTCAGACTGAAGTGCACATGACAAGTATTTTTTTTTTCCTTTTCCCTTAATTATGGCTTTGTTGGGCAACTGAACAAGGCTTGAGGTTTCAGTGAAGAACATCAAACTTGGAGATAATTAATTGCTTCTTAGAATAATACATTATACTTTAATAATAAATCAGGTCAATTTGGCAATGCATCAAGCCAAATTAATGTTTTTCAAACAAGTCCTTTCTCCTATTATAATACTATTATTTCCATTAACATTAGGAGAGCCAGGGAGAGGGCAGTAAATTATTGAAAACTTATAAGCACTAATCAATTTAAACTGAAGGGTCTTTTTTCACAAATTGCTAAGTTCTCCTTCCCTGTGTCCTTTCTACAAAACAGGACTCCTGAGTGTGATTTTGCCAGAGACCAAATACTGTTGAGAAGCCAGTCTTGAGTTTGGCCTCTTTGCCACAGCAGGGGACTGTTTTGGTTTTGATTGCTGTAGTTTGTGAAGTGAATAGAAAAATCACCTGAAAATGACGTGTATGAGCGGTATAATTACAATGGTTGTTTTGAGAACATTTTTGGTACTACAGGTTATAGGTTTCTCTCAATAAATGAACAATATTTTGTTTTAACACAACCAGTAGGAAATCATGCATTTCTTTAGCAACCTTTGAAAAAAAATTAACCGATGACCGAAACATTTAGTCAGGTGATCATTGATTGAAAATGTCATCACTTTACAGTTTGTCATTTTTAAAGATTCTTCCAAATTGTTCCAGGTTTGAAGTGTTACGTACTTGTACTTGTCCATTTATCCTAGTATCCAAGTGGTTTCAGACATTTTTTGCCATATTTTGTAACTGTTAAACAACAAACTTAATACAGACAAAGTTAACTCATTGGGTGACAAACACAAGTATCACATGCGTGTGAAGGAGGAGGTATCCCGGATGGTGGACAGATTGTTACTCCCTGACAGATGAGGTCTTTGCACCACTGAAACTGCTCACAGAGCTGTAAAACAGACCTATTGAACACAGACGGGCTTGAACCAATTCAGTGCGACACTCTGAAAATCACTGTGAGGCAAACATAATGGAGTCCTCCCTGCTGCACCTGATCCAGACCCTCTCAGCCTCAAATTGCATTGGTTTAGAAAGGGTTAAACGTACACAAAGGCACAAAATATCAAGGCATCCATGCGGAGAACGGCCGAATGCATTTTTTGCAACGTTTTTTTGATCAAACCTATTTTAATAGTTATTATGTGTAAATGTTTTTGTTTTGATTTTATGTCTACAAAAATCTGGTTGTATGATCGGCCGCTCGTGTGCGTGCGTCCGTGTGCGGTTAAGGGTCTTGCTTTTTACCCAGAAGGTCTAAGTTTTGAACATGGGCCTTTCTCAGTGAAGGTTTCACCGGTTTCCTCAGAGTGCTCTGGTTTACCCTACCACTAAAAACATATATATGCACAATAGCTCCCCTCTCTCTGGGGCGAGGACTCCCCTGAAAAAGAGGCGACGTTTAGGCAGTGTGAGTGGTGGAGCAGGTTTTAATATGTAGGGTAAATATTGCATGTTAGAGCATGCGTTGTGTTCCAGCCTGGGAGTCATTAATCATTGGTGCTCAGTTAGCCTACAGGTTTTATGCTTGTGCCAATAGAGAGCAAATTAATAGTAATTGTGTTTTATTTGATCAAGATTTCCAAATTATCTAATCATGAATACTAAGAACATACAAATAAATTATAAATAACAGTTGGATCCCCATGAATTGTATTTCACCAGGCCCCATAGACCAAGGCCGAGCTGGAATAGAGCAGTTATATTTCCTCAAACTTCAGCTTTGTTTTAAGTGTTACAAATCCCATATGCACTGGACTCCTGTGGTCTATACAACTCATCCATTCATTTCAGAATAATGGTTCATCCAATCTGTCATCAAAAAGTAGTTATTTACAGCCCTAGAAAACACACCAAGCACACCACAACACACTCCACAACAATAATCGTTTAACACAATCACAACAAACGTCAATGAAGTAAGAGAACGTACAACCTACAGTTCAACTAGGTCACAATCACAAATGCCTGCAGTGCCCATGATGCTGCTAGAAAAGGCCTCAGAGAGTGTTCCTTTAATGCCAAAGGCTGCTTCACACCTTTAAAAGATTTGGAAATGTACCGATATAATACACTCTTTAGCCTGCTTATGGAAAAAGAGTAACAATTTCACGGTCCTAATTCCATGTGTATAGTGCAGCTCTGAGCATCGCACTGCCGGCATAAGATAAGGAGTCCCCAAAATAGATTCAATTGTCTTGTGCACATGTACATGCACTGCTGAGCTGCACGGTGTTTTCGCTTTACTGTATGAGAGCTGATGAAATCTCCAAAGGACAGTGCGGTGGAGGAAGGCTTACCGCCACTAAGCCTCAATTTGGTTGACTTTCATTTGGAGTGATCACCAGCAGCACAGGTGAGGCGCTTATCTTCTCAATGCCAACTGTAGCAAGAATGAAATATAAAAATAAACTCGATGAGGCCAAAGTTAGCCACAAGGTCAGTCCAAAAACATGCAGTGTTGGGGGACATTGCTCTGTCAGATTCAGTTCATTTACCACTTATGAAAAGAGAAGGCTTGGGCACAGCCACAGTATAACTTCTTTTTCTACAGAATCCAGGAGTTTTTTCCCCATTTAAAAATGATTCCTGGGTGTTGTTGTTGTAAAACTCCATTGTAAATCTCATACAATGTTTAAATCCTGTTGGAGCCATCTTCAGGAATAGATTCTATGTTATGTAATACTGATGAGGATGTTGTTCATTTTTGGTAGAAAAGGATTCAAAATGATTATTCTGTCATGGATCACTCCTAAACAATATGAATTACCCCAATTTGTATTATAAATAAACATAATATCAAGGATTCAGTTTGCTTTGTTATTTATTCAGTGTCTGACCTGTTCCACTAGAGTAAACGGTTATTTTTAAAACCTCAATCAAGATGCGAAGACAAGACCTCTTCATATTTAGCATGTCCTTTGTGTATTTTCTGGTTTAATAATATCCTGAATCGTCTTACACTTCACATATTCCAAATCTATTGCTTTTATTTCTATCCATTTTGCCGATAATGAATGACCTTTTTGCCTTCCCTTCGGGCGGTGAAATTGCAAGGGTCCAAGAATGTTCTTCAGCAGTATTTTATCTCGGCCCTGTGACAAGTTCAATCAGTCAGTCTATTACCTCGCTCTATAAATCAGGCACAAAACAGGTCTTAGATCCTGGGTTTTCCATAAATGGGACATTATGTTCCAAATCAATTAAATCTCCCCGCCCAATGTCTCCTACTCCTATTAATCTATCTCAAAGTCACGTTTTCCAAATAGATTTTATTAGAGAATAGACTTACCCTAGCTGACATCTGCAAATCTCTGTCAGCAACATTGTGTGTCCACCTACACAAAAACATGACTCACATCTATGTTATTGTTCTTTTATGGGCACATATTTGGGCAGTCTTTGCAAGATTTAAAAGGATTGATCTATATGAATTCATTTTCCCAGTGAGGCAACTTTCTTTCTGTTTGAACAAAAAAAGTCTCTTGAGCATAGTCAAGTAAGAACAAAACCACTGGTCAGCATTATGCTAACCCTTCAATTATCAGATGGAGCAAAAAGGCTTTCTTAGGGATAATAAAAACTGGAATTTAGCCTGACCTGTTAGATAAAGGATTATATCTGATTTTGGTTAGTAAATTATGAAGTGAAAATGCAGAAGCCCTTTGAAGGTAACTGGTAATGAGGCATGATGTGGGTACAGGCTCCTGGCAGCTGCCTCAAACGGCATCAAAGCCTACATCAGACTAAACAAGGCTTTACAATTAATGAATAACTTTGTCTCTAAGGGGTAATTTTCCATCATCAGCATTGGCAAACCCTATTGTCAGACTGGAGGCTTGAGGCCAAACTGCATTATTACCGTATGCATTCTCCTCATTAATTCACACCTCATGCATAGTAGGTCGTTGCCTGATAATTTTCACTTTTGTCTGCGGGGTATTGGTCGTATTTCTCTCCAGAGAAAATGGGGCTATTTAGATTAGCTTGTTTGCCAAATTCCCAGAGGAACCCACTGTCAGATCAAAGCGGCTCTGGCCTATTAGGTCCTGACATGTAACAAATATTGATAAAGGTCGTGCAGCTGATTAACTTTCAAATTTTTCTCATACAAGTATTTTCAATTGGTGCAGACTTCAGATTGGGAAAGAGGTATTATAGCATGTTGTCTTTTTCCAGAACCCTTTTCTTTTCTGAAGCTACAAATACATCTATTTTTACAGAAAAAAATTAATTTATAAGGTGTAGGTATACAGTATGTAAATGAATCCTACAATAATCCTCTTTACATTTATTGGAGGGAGCATACAGCCTTATCATCACTGTGCCTTTTATCATCATATGATTCTGAAATGACCAAAAGGATCCAACATTCTCTGCTTTCCTTTTAAGAGAATAATTATGTCCCTTCGCCTTGTCCTCCCACTTTAAATTGGAGATTGCTATTTGCACTCATTTCATCTGGATATATCCTCGGCTATGTGATGGATTCAAAAGCATAATTGGACGCCAACTAGGCACCACGTATGCAGAGGCTTTTGGAAACACCATTTCTAAACCATTTTCAATTTCAAAATGTGGAGGTGTACTTTGTCAGTGGTTTGTATTTCTCAAAAGCATAGAAAGACATGTCTTTTATACCCTGCTAATAAGTGTCTTTAAAAAGTGTATGGCTCAGTGAAAATTTTTTACACCAAAACACATTTTGCTTTATACATTTAGATTGGATGTATAATTATTTTTCTCCCAGGATTAGTCTTGTTACCAACGTTTTGTAGGCTTTGTTATTGTCACCCAGATAGTTTACTCTTCAATCAACCGTGATAACCCAGGTTACAAGATCAGGTTTTGAGTAAGTCTGGTTTCAAGGTAATCATAGTTTTGGAAGCAGTCTTTTGTGAAGTGTCTCTTGAAGAAAAACCAATTCGTCACGGATTTCGAAGGCCAATCTTTGTGAATAGACAGTGCCACCACACTTTCGCCTCATTCTTCGCCATTGGGCCAAATAGTGTTGTCACATATTTACACCCAACACGCATTATCTCCAAGTTGTCTTTTTAGTGATAATAGCAGAAAAACAGCATAGCTCAATGTGGTGAACACGGGTGCATACGCCAGACTCTGGAGATGCTGTGTGCATTGATTCACTCCTGTGTTTCTGTTAACCACCTTCTGGATGCGGGATTCTCACGTCACAAATTGGTGCCATGTCACAAATTGAACCTAGTCTTTTTGCTGCCTCTCGAGAATGATAAAGATCACTCTCTAACTAAAGCTTGAGGAAATAATTGAAAAAACTTCTTTGGGCATGTATGAAGGCCAAAAAGCACTGTAATGATGCTTAAAGGATAGAAAAGTCTTTAAGGACATCTATGGACATGAATAAACATTTATGGACATTTGTCATTGCCTCGCTATGGACCAATGGCCGCTATCAGTTTGTTATTATTGTATTTCTTGTGTTCAAACTGTTTGATTATCTGATCTGTCGCTGGTGAATTGACATCTTTGTAAATAATCCTTAGACAACTGCTGCTGTGATTTAGAGCTATAAAAAATACATTGAATGGAATTGAAGTCAAATCCAGTAGGAGCAAGACTTGTACCCACGATCACAACCCTATTTGGCTGCAGAATAGTCGTATTATTTAGCCTGACTCTCGTCAGACCCATATAGTTCGCTGCACTTCACACTTGCGTCTGGGCCTCCTCCATAGCAGTTGGATTTCAGAGGGCGGGGCCTTCTAAAAAAAATCCTTGTATGTGATTGGATAAACCACCGTTATCTTGAATGACGTCTTCTTTCAACCACTCACATCGAAGCACACGACTCCCATGGGTTGCCAAATGCCGGCAAGATTTTCCAGCCCAAAACCCGCGAGAATGCCCAAAAAAAAACACCCAGAATGATTTTTTGGCTAAAAACTTAGTGTTATCAACTTGGCCTATCATCTTTCTGTTTATTTATTACCTACAATTCTCTTGAAGAAAAGTACGAACATTTGACTCTTAAAACACACATATGGACATGGAACATGGAACCATCAACATCTCGCCTCAAATTGCATTAAAAGTACATCCGTGTCTTAATTCGTTCATATTTAAACTTTTAAATAATTCGCGGACTTCATGTCCGCCATCTTGGATTGCTTTCGCTGCTGCGTGAGACAAGCTTGAGAAGGCGGTGCAAACCCCACGTAACACTGGCGATCCTGATTGGTCGATTAAAAAATAATCTGCTGAAGGAATTTTCTATGGACTCAATCCCAGACCCATGTCGTTCAGCCAGACACCTCTGGTGGAGCATGGCGGAACTACAAGGGTCTGGCGAGAGCCAGGCTACGTATTATTATCCAAAGCGCCAAATAACCGCCCAATGTGTCTGTTTAAATACATATGCTCTACTTAATTTGTATGTTATACAGTATGTGTTTGGGTTGATCTTGATTGTGTTCCTTTGTTCCCTTTCTTCCAGCCAATGTCAAGTATTTTGGAGATTCCTTCCTGGAGTTTGATGGCATTGAAATGAATCGTCTTAATGATATTACTTTGAGATTTCAAACACGTTCATCTCAAGGAACTCTTTTGTATATGGATCACGGACCTGCTAACAACCAGTTCTTTTTTATCAAAGTCTTTATTACTGAAGGGGTTTTGAAGGTAAAATAAAATATATGTTGGAACTGTATGTACTGTGGAACATGATGAGAGAAAGCACTGAATAATGTATTTTTTATTTTGGTTTCTTGCAGTATGCGTTCAACTGTCACAAAGAGGACGAGGTGACCCAGATCAACACCGCGATTCAAATCAACGATGACACAGCACACATGGTGAACATCAGGTATTGCTTTTCTTCATTCTAATGTATTTCATCAAGCTATGTGTTCATTGGCTCGTTGATTTTATATTGCTACCAAAAATGTTGATTTACTTGAGAGCATGATCTGATATTAAGTCAGTACTGTAAATAATAGTCCAGGATCCCTGTTGATATTAGGGTTATGATATTCTCACCCTAAACCTAACCCTGGTCTCAAACCTTAGCCCCAACTCTACTCATCACACAATCGTAACATTGATCCTGGGCAAACATCTTTGACAATGATCCTGGAATATTGATTACTCTTTGATCAAATCATGCCCTATGGTAGCAGCTGTTTGGGACAATGTGGTTACGTGGTAGAAGGTATCACTTCGCTTTATTGGCATAATTTGTTTGCATTATAATTAAAAATGGCTGAATTTCTACTTGAAAATTATACTTTTCTGGATAATATGCCACCTCATTGGCATTCACCTAAGCTGTTAGAAACTTTTGAAACATACATTTTTACAACTCTGATCTGATAGTTTGTCTCCACTGAGAATAAAACATTCTGAACACTTTCAAGCACTCAGCACTGATGTATGTGCTTATTTGTTACAACATTATTCTGTATATATGTATGTAACATGTTCATACTAAGATTGCTCAAATAAATAAAATAAAATAAAATAAACTAAACTAAACTAAACTAAAACATTCTGAACACTGCAATGTGGTCCATTGACTTTTATCTGTGCGTGGTGCGGGTTGACAGCGGTTTGTATGTTCCACTGACTTGTGTCAACAGTGGTGCAAGAACACCTATTTAATTACCAAGAGACAAGAGCAGACTATCACTGAGGTGAAACGTAGCACACTGTTTTAAAAGACTTTCTATGTCTGGTGGTCAGTGGACACCCCCAAGGCAAAAATATTTGCATGGGGGCAAGCAGGTGGAGTGAATACAGCTCATTTTATTGTTGATGTTCCATGTTCCAAGTGTTGATCTAAGCATTTCATAATGACATGGGCACCCCAGGCTCTGTGGTACAGTATGTTCTCAGTAAAGGGCCTAATACCCAGTAATTGGCAGAAATAACCAAGCTGCAAACTGATTTTATTATGGATGGCCAAATGAGCACATGTACGACTATAGAATTAAAACAAAACGTCAGAATTCGCCTATTAAAATGCATTAGTGATCACTAGCCATGTTTTATTGGCTGTTCTAAAGTCTTCATTTGCAGTTTTTCATTACCAAAAGATTAACAAGCTTGAGCCGAGCACAAAATCAATGTTTAAATGATTTAAAGTGCGGGCTGCTGCCTCTTTAGTTATATTGTTCCTAGGTTGGTGTGCAATCTTGCTGCCAGCCTCCTCCATTATGTTCTGACACAAGAAAAATTGTGGTTGGTACACGAGACACCAAGTTTATTATGCATGAGCTGGAAGCTGAAACAAAGAGGTTAATGTTGAAATAAAATCAGATCCGTTTACTTTGCAGTTTGCATAAGGGCATCAGGCAGACATTTTGAAGTCGGACAAAAGGGCATTTGGTATTCTATTTGGGCAACATTTTAATTTCCCTTTGTGTTGAGTTCTAAAGGACCTCAAACAAGATCCTGTGATAACAACAAATTGGGGAGAGATAAAAGTTATGTAAAGTAATGAAGGTGATTATGGGCAATGTGTGCCAAAGGTGAAAAACCTAATTTGTGCCAAACAAAGAGGTCGTTTCATGTGTTTTGGCAGAAAGCTGTACTGTTCCAAATATGCATGAACATCAACATCGGCCTAATAGTTTGAAAGGGCTTCAAGGCACCACCTCCTGTTTCTTTTTTTTCTATCCTGCAAAAAAAATACAACAGCAGTATGAATCCATCATAATGTTCTGTACTGACCCCATGGAGACATTGCGAGAAAGAGAGCTGTCATATCTAGAGGGTTGGCAGTTATGGAAAAATGGTTTCTGGTGTCACAAAGCAAATTCTATGTAATTGTCTGATGGCCCAGTCCGTCCATCTTTGTCTGATTTGACCCAGAGCTACAACGCCACAGTCATCCTCAACGTCACTGCCTAACTCATTATAGACTTTTAATATATCTTCCCGTCAAAGACGCTTTTCAATATGTTAAATAGAAACCCAGTGGGGCCGACTTCTCAAGGACAGTGAGCACAGTGCCCTCTGGCTGCCGGCCAGGCCTCTCTCTGGCAGACTGCTCCTAAATTAACCGCTTCTCTACTCGGCGGCTCAAGAGGAAGACTTACGCAGCTCGGAGTTTGCGCCCCGAGTGTTTAGCTGCCATATGCAACAGCCCACAAAGTAGAGGCTTAACAAATCAGACTAGATTGCTTCATGGACCTTCTCCCTCCCGGGGAGTAAGGGGCTATGGGGAGACAGTCGAGAGGAGACCGAGCATCTGCAGCTTGAGTACCTTGGAGCTGGAGAAGCTGGTCCACAATCTGCACTTAGTTAATTATCTGTGCTCCACACTATCTTATAAAGCTCTCTATTGTTATTTCTAATATGGTTCTAGGGCACAATCAGAATATCTTATGGGATGCACCAATTCTTTTTTATTTATGTCAGATACTGATGTTGGTCCTTTGGGTTTCAATATCTGACATCAACCCGATACCAGTGAAGCAACTGAAAATGTGTTTGACCGCTAACGTAATTCAAAAAGGTACAACATTTTCCTCCAAAAGTTACTGTAGAACGATTTTCTATGAGTAAAATTATGACGTTTTGTGTCAATATCAGGATCAAGATCTCAGCTTAAACAAAATCAAAGATCCAGTAGTTTTCAACATTTTCCAATGTCAGAACTCGGCCTGTCATTTTTTTTGCTTTATGTGTTGTTGGGTCGTAAGGGCAGTCGTCTAAACAGAGATGCCCAGTCTTCCCTATCCACACACACACTTCCTCATCCGGGGGAATCCTGAGGCGTTCCCTGGCATAGTCCCTACAAAGTGTCCTGGGATATCTAGGAGGCAACCCAGGATGTGATTACAGTCTCTCTTACAGTTTTGAGAAAATAATGGCAAAACGATATGGTTTTATCTGCCGTGTTCATAAATTGTGTTAGTGCGGGAATTATATTTACTATGCTTCCTCTTGACTGTGTTTTTCTACAGGCAGCATCTGAACCCTTGTGAAGCGGAGTTAACTCTGTCTGGTCACAGCACAATAAAGAGTGCAGTGAGTAATTATTGGCCAGGGTCCATGCTACAGAGAACATATCACATCTTTGTAGGCGGCCTCCCATTGAGATACCCGCTCAATCAGGTATGTTCAAACTGCCTTCTTATGAAATACATTGTAATTTGTAATCAGAGCCTTGTACAATATAGTGGGTTTATTTTATAGAAAGCGGAACACTTTGACAACTTCACTGGCTGCATTGAAATAATTGAGATCAATAATCGTAGGAGTTTTCTCACCTCGGACTCTATTGCCAACAGCAACACAGGGGAATGCAGGTAATTATTTCTAACAAATCTCAGTTTCGCTGAAATTGATTGAAACCCTTCCGAAATTAGTTACTCAAAAATTGCCTACAGTTATGCAATTCCACTGAGCACGTGAGTTGTATTACATGAATTGTGCCTCAAACCATGACCCTAGCTTGATATAGGCAATATTGCTTTATTATTTGAGAAAGCTAAGCAGGGTTGGGTAACCAGTATTATGTAGGGTTTCTGCCACAGGACACTTACTCAACGGTGTAGATTGGCAACCTTACGTCCATCGGGGCAGATGTGGCTACAGTAGTATGGATGGTACCTCACCAAGTATAAGCAGACAATTAATAAATGCACAGAATTACATAAATAGTATCTGAAATGACTATAAGCCTGTGGCCTTAAGATCAAAAGCCAAATTTGTACAGGAATAGCAAAACGGTGAGGCAGTCGTGCCAAAAGAACAAACTCAAAAGGCGAACAAAATTGACCAACATCAAATCTGGTCTCCAAAAAGAATGACATAAAAATGGTGTAGTCTATGTTATCTTTAGGTGACCTTGGTCTGTAAAATGCGCTAGATAAATAAACACTTACTAACTACATACAAAAAAACAACAACTGTGGCAACAACAGATAAAGCCAGTACGTCTAAACAAACTATGTGATGTAAAATGAGAGAACAAGCAAAGACCCTACCTCTTTACTCCAATTGGCCTCCTCTCCTCTTCCAAGTCCCACCCACGGCACCTTTACACACAAAGAGAAACGCCACACAGGAGAAAAAAAAAACTGCACAAATCAATGTTGTAAAACAAAATTGTTGCCTTCAAAATAAATTGTTGCATAAAATTTTCATCTTTTAGTTTCTCAACATTGCACTTAGCTCTGTTATAAAAAGTTTCTATTTTCATTCATCATCACCTTAATGGCTATTTTTCTGCTAGTTTTTAACTGTTTTTTTCTGGACACTCCGTTTGATTTTACAGAAACACAACTCATCCATCAGACACAATTCTGCCAAGACTTGATCCTTCCACCCACTCATATTTAAATGATAGCACAGTGACCAGAACAGAAAAATCTTCTTCAGATGAGGCTCCAGTCTGCTTTCAAGGTCTTTGCCAAAATGGAGGGACATGTTATACGCAGCATCATTTCAACAAATCCATCCCTCTATGCCTCTGCCCACTGCATTTCACCGGACCTTTTTGTGAGAAAGGTAAGAAAGCTATTTGTATCTTTGATGCTTTACAACCTACAACTGCACAGCTCTTAGTGTGGTATAATTGTGAACCAGCCAAACCAATTATGCTGCTTAATATACACTGAGCCTCTTTGCCTAATAGGTTTTACTATATGGGAGAATGGAGTTGACTGCATTAGGATTTTGGAGAGATGTGAATTATTCGGTGATGATTAATGGAATGAAAGCTCTTCTAAGCAGCTTGAAGCGTTGTGTGTGTTCGGTGTCACCTCCAACGGATAATGCAACTAACAATCTGACCTTGGAGCCCTCGATCGACTTTCACTTATATTTCAGTGTCACAATTTGTTGCACCCACTTTGAACTTGGACAAAAAGACTTCAAGCTTACACGCAACTTCATTGTGACGTTTCCACTTTATTTTGTTGGAACATAAACCAACTGTGCTTGGCAGATTGGAATAATTTCAACTATTACAAATATCTGCAATCTTGTCCTTTAGGTTGTAAAGTTCTTTGAGTTGTGTTTGAATAGTTACAGTTACTCTTATCAGGATAAATGCAGGCATGTTTATTCATTTAAAATGGTTGCCTGTGAAGTATACAGTATATTATGTAATATGCATTAATTCATTTCAATTCAATGTATTCTTGTATAGCCTGAAATCACAACAGTAGTGATATCAGAGGACTTTACACAACTGTGGAATTCACCAACACAGATCAGAGAATCAAACTGTTCAAACACAAGAAATAGAACAGAAAACACATTGGTATGGGTCCATGAAGGGTAGATGACCAATGTCCATAAGTGTTGATATATGTCCATAAATGTTGTTTTATGTCCTGGATTATCACCACAGCATTAGTGGAGGACACTGCTTTGGGTTCCCTAGAAAGGGTAAATCACATGAATGTACAAAGCAGTTCCATTTCATTCATGGAGCATACTGATCCACTCCATTGCTTTTCACTTGTATGTTGTACTTTTGTACGTGCAATACTAATCTGACATTCACAGCTTGAAGCCACACACTAATACTAACAGTTATTAGCACCGCATTAGCCCGCTCCCCCCACCGTGTGCCCTGGTGTGACATCTCGGTAACAGTCTCTCACAACACTCATTTTCAGGTGTTTAAGAAATCCTTGAATGTGATTTGTCTCCTCGGGCTCTGTAATAAAAACATGCTATTTTTATGACTTGGCACTCATTTATATTCCCAAGGGAGAGGGAACGTTTGTTGAAAAAATGGCTTCGTGTTTACATGACGGAGCTTCCACTTTGTTTGGCTAATTGTTGGAAAGCTTCTAAACTACAGGGAGAAGCTTGTATCGTCACTTTTCTTTTATTCATTCATTGTTATCATAAATGAATCTTCAGTAAACATAGAGTGTTTCCTCTACTGGCAGCAAATGCACACTCATCAATGATATATGTCATATAGTTGCTCAATTCATTTTCAATTCCATTTCATTTCAGTTGTTGTTTTATAAATTGAAACCATTTGGAGTACCATATTCATAGTGTGTGTGATTTTAGATTTTTTTTGGAATAAGCTTTTATTTCAACAGAATTTGAAATGAATGCTTTTTGCCCTAAGGTATATTTTCCTCATAGTATTTTGGTATCATACAGTGTGTGTTGCGTATTTTGCAGTGATTTGGTGTTTTGTTTACATTTACAGTATGTAGGCTGTATTTAGGGTCCTCCCATGTCTATTGTTCAAGCTTCTTTTTCGGGTTACAATCTTGTCGTCACATCTTGTTGAATTAAGTAATACACACTAGAGTAGAAGGAAGTGAGTGGCCCTGTGCTCTTAGTTAATTATAGATATGTCAGCCCACACAGTGACTAATGATGTAGACTTGTTTGTGTCCTAGATGTACTGCTGACACTCAGAGAAGTATCTAAGACAAATACTACTCTCTGACCTCTCATCTTCTGCCCTACATTCTTCATGAAAACACTACAACCCAATTGGATGTTTCTTTTTTATGTTGACTTGTTGGAACATTACGACCTCTGTCAATGGATTACTCTTATAATGTAAGCATATTGATAAAGAGGTGAGTTTTCGGTACATGTTGACTGTGGATGAGTTTTGTGTTTTGACCATAGACTGTAAGTAATGGAGGAACAGTGTTGTGCCAGTTCACAACTTTTCTGAACTAGTTCAAGTTCAGTTCATACATGCTCAAAGTGAACAGTTCACGTTCAAAGTTCACAATTTTCATTCTGAACTAGTTCAAAGTTCAGTTCATTTTACTTTTTGCGAGAGATATTCAAATAAATACTTTTTTTCACTACAAGCTAGAAATCACTATACGTGGTATATACATATAAATATAAATATATATGTATATATATATAATATATATATATATTATTATATCCTGTACACTGCACAGGATGTGCTCCAATTTACATGGGTTTCAAGATTTACATGGGTTTCAATGGGAACTGAGTTGTCCCATCTCTGCTCATAAGTACAAACTGTAATGCGCTGCAGAACGTGTGTCTATATTTTATGTCAAATGTAAACGGCCCTGTGTCACTGACTTACCCCTGTGTTTTCATCACGGCACATGTGAGTCCAAAAACCAATGAATAGCACTAGCATACAGCGCCGCACCGCAAGTAGTCAAGCCCCGGCGATCCAAGATGGCGCCCTATTCAAATGAATGGTTGTGCTCAGTGGCGCTTTGTGACGGCATGGGGGCTGAAAGATTAGCGGAAGTTGCCTGAAACTCGCAAAGATCTATGGGAAACTCGCCTGTATTTGGGCATCGTCTGGTCCTCCCGGTTCTGTGCAGTGGATGATCTCCCATAATGCGTTGCGCCAAACATGTGTGTGTGGGTCTCACACCGGGTCTCACGCACGTGCACAGAGGGGCTCGGCCGCGCTCTGACCAATCAGAGCAGTTCATCAGAGCGGGAGTTAGAGCGAGAGCCAGACGAGCAGAGATTGTGGCACTAAAGTGTGGATTTAAACAAAACCGAAGGATTTAAGAAGAAAAAAAGTTCAGGATGACAAGGGACACTAAAATCCCCACAAAATCCGACATTTATGATAGCTGTAGGTTCTCTGTCAGCTGAGGTCGAGCTGTTTTAATTTGCATTCGTTCTATGGGGAAAATTTCTGGGTAGCCCACGTGAATTTAGTCTGGTTCAGTTTGCAGTACCGCGAGAATCCCCTGAGCACGTGAGTTATTCAGCTACAAGCTAGTAATACCCTATCCAGTTAATATAATAGATCCATGCAAGTAGTACACTGAGTTGGGGTGCGTTCACAGACGGTGGAAACCGTAGGAATTTTTAGTTTTCGGAGGAAACAGTGCGGAGAATACAGGAGGGAGGAACTTTCTCTCGTTGCATTTCAAAAGAGAAAACAGATTTCACTTAGTTTTCAATGGAAAAAAATGTGTCTGCCGTTCATGACACATAGTATGAACTAATTCACGTTCAAGTTCTTTATTAAAAAATGTGTTGCGTTCAGTTCAACGTTTACGAAAAAATGAGCGTGTTCAATTAACGCGTTCTTTTGAACTCGTTCACGCACAACACTGTGGAGGAACCCATATGGTTTGCCTTTTTGAGGAAGAAGACAAAAAGAGTTAACTTAAACAGGCTCAGTGAAAGGGATTCTGAAGCTAAGTGTGTGGGTAGCAACAACCTAGCAACCATAGAGCCAATTGGGAGTAGTGCTACTTGCTATATTGGATCGGATTGGATATTCAAAGCTGAATTCAGTGACATCTGACAAAGGTATGCCAGGATCAAGCAGACGGGTGAACCACAGATTTTAAGTATGACAAAAACAGTTACATTGAAAAGTAAGCTACATTTGCTCTGTGAGTCAATAGCAGCCAAAAGTTAATCTATGAGCACTTCCTTATTAGGCTTCATAGAACTAGAGGGTGATCATTGTCCACTCCTTAATACTGGCTATGGTTTCAGTGGAGTTTCAGTGGGTAGGTCTCCTCAGATCCTCCTCAGAATAGCAACACTTGCCCATAGTGACGGAAGTTGTATTTTGAAGCTGTTCCCATTCTGTGAACTTTCTGTGTTCATGTGGGGATGCATTGGGGCAATTATGGTGTGATTGTGCAGTTTCATCCAATAATGAGAAAGCACAATGCTCAAAATACCGTTGTAATGCTAACTACATGAAACAAAAGTTCTTAATGTACATTAATGTACAAATGTTTTCACATTTGATGCACAAATATCTTAAGATGTTATGCAATCAATATTTTATCCCCAGAACACATGATACTTTTAAGTAATTGACTATTGATTTGCATAACAATTAGACTAGATGATAGCGTAATTGTATCCTGCCAAAACTGTCAACAAACACTGACTTGTTCTTTTTATTTAAATTATCAACTTCCTGAGAAGGATTCTTTCTTTTAAAGTCAAGTGCCATGTATTATTTAGGCTTAATTACTCTTTCTCTCACTGATTGACAACAATTACTTTTTCCTCACACTGATTACAATCTCTCTTTGTTAAAGTTTTTGAAGTTCAGCTGCACAGTAAAAAGCTTTAGAAAAGTTTTACCTTTTATGTTTCGTACCAGTGAAGTACACATGAGGAGTGGCTGTCTCTCAAGTCTCAACTTCTCTGCTACCCCCGACCGAGATGTATGGTAGGGCCAAGTGCCAAAGGGAATATTGTAGTAACCAACCGCATAACAGTGATCATAATGTCATGTGAGACCTGATTGTATTGTTTCCAAGAGGTAACAAAGCAGATAGCAGATCTTGTCAGAGATGGTCTTTCATTGTATATGCCTGATGAAGCGCTGAGGGGGAGAACTGCAGCCCTTGTCTCGATTGATGTTGACCTCCTCCTACTGTATGCCTCACACCTTTAAGTCATTTCTGTTTTGGTGCACATGTAGAATGGCTGTCAGACAAGAAGGCAAGTTGTGTCAGTTCAACTCTGAAGGCAGCCTTTGTCTTTGAGTTTTGGTTCTCTATCTGCTATAAAAGACCAACTAAAATGAACAACAACATTTGCACACAAAGAAGTCAAATTGTGATGCTAATTGCATGAATGTATTATATCATGTCATGCCGTCATGTCATTTTCTTCCCCTTAAACCATTTCTGGGTTGGGAGGTGGCAATCAGAGCTGCAGCCAATTCACAAAGCACCAGTCCCTCGCTGATCCTCCTGCGGGTGGTGGGGTCCACAAGAAGATGGCTGCTGCTCCCTCATCAAAGACATGGCCTTGGTCTTTCATTGGTGGCTTCAGGCAAAATGGGGTTAAGTGTCTTGCCCAGGGACACAACGACAGCAGACATCAGGGGGACCAGGTCATTTGGGTCGTGGGGGATCTAACCCACAACCATTAGGTCTATACTGTAGATCAATGCTCTACCAACTGAGCCACTGTCCCCCCAATGTATTATATATTTACTTGTAAAACATTGAAACTGATTGCTATTGACATGATAACATATTTTGAGAGGAGTCCTGGGCCCAGAGATGATTATTAAGGATTGCTTTTGGAGGAGGCCCGGTTGTACATGTTTGTAGTGTTGAAGTAAACAGCACAACCAGCAGATGCAAGGGAAACTCGGCGCAGGAAGAGTACTCCAACTGAACTAAATGTTTTTGCAGAGAGGCAGTAACCCCTATGCTGCTGTGTCTTGCAAGAACATTGCAATGTTCGTTGAATATTGTCAGGAATGAAGCAGACAGAGACGGATCGTGGTGTGCCGAACTCTGGAAGTTTATTTAGGTTTCTCTCAAGTTCCAGTGGTTTCTGTTGTTTCTTTCTCTCAGACAGAATAAAGGCAGTACACAGTTTATATAGTCATTATCATGTCACACATCGAAAGACATACGTGTCACACAGAGACAGTGCAAATCATAGTCAAAACATGGAGTCATCATCAGAGTCCTTGTACAGTCCTGCACGTAGGCCATATTGCTATCTAATACTAACAATATCTACACAACACCTCATTTGTCTGGCTAATGCTTATTTTGGTAATTGCTAATAATGTGTTAAGATAAAGCTGTCAATGCTTACTTGTGAAATAAAAAGTCAATCCAAAGTTGATGGAAAGGCATAAAACCAAAACATTTAGCTGTGTTCTTGCCAGTCTAACATTAATAAGACCTGATTTGAGTTTCCATTGCCAACACAATAATTCGCTGCTGCCAGCTCTTTTAGTGGGCATCCAGTGCATGTTTTACCGTAATTGTGGGGGCTTTTAAAAGAGCGCCAGCTGAATCTGCCTTACTCACCAGTTGCCAACAAACATTACAGGATGGATTCATCATCCTCAACCCAGGCAACAGTTTCTTTCTCATGACTTGTTTTTATTTCTGTGTAATTTGGAGTATTGGCTGTCGTGTCCTCTCCCTGTAATATTCCGTGGTATCTCTGCACAGCCCTGGGTCTTGATTGGCTGAAGTGAGAGCAGAAGGATTGGGAAGTGGCTGGAAAACAGGATTATGGACCTCAAAGAAATGGCTCAACCCCTGTCTCTCTGCTGTTGTTCTATAGTGATCATTTAACTGGCTCAACTCTGTGTCTCGCTGTCCCCTGGCTCCACATGAATCATTCTTTACAACAATCTGCGCGCTTGATGTTTCTATTTAACGCTGGGCATTTCTTTTGCCTTGTTAAAGCATCTGATGGCCTAACTGACTGCAAGAATTGTTGGTGTATTTTTGTCATTATGTATCAAGTAGTTTACGCTAAAGGGGCATCATGGTTTGGTTTTAATGCTAACATGTATACAATATAATGTACCGCTTTTTCCGCTATTACTTTGGCACTAACACAGCTGACCCAAGTCAATAACCACCAAGTCTGTACGAAATGTATGTCCCCATTTGAAAATCTTTATTTAAAATATCTTGCCTCGTTCACACCTAAAACCTGGTTGCACAACACCACTGTGCTGCTCTCTGATTGGCTGCCAAACGCCAAGATGGTCACTGATCGTAGATGGCGTACCACCCTGCTGTGTCGCACAAAAAAACAAGCAAAATTGACTTTTCATAACACCTGACAAAGCTTGGTCCGGTCGCACATCTTAGTTATATTTCACAAACATCAAGACTGTTTTGGAGGTCAGTCCTTGTGCTTCTCTGTCCAAGTTGGTTCATATGGCAATTACATGGCACAGATTTACCGGTGCGAGGTCATGGAGACTCAAGCTGAGCTGTTTTAAGATCTATTATTAGAGCCACAGGGAGCCATTGCAGAGACTTTAGCCACCACTAAACACCAAAATCTTTCTTACACAAATAAAATGATGGTAAATTCAAAATTTTGTCAAAAATACGAGCATATGTAAGATGTAATTCAATGTAAATAATATATTTTGGATGTGGTTTGAATGTAAAATATATTTTTTTTAAATGAAATTATTTTTCTGTTGCTATTAATATGTTTTGAGTCTTTGCCATTTGATTCCTTGAAAAATTAGGTTCAGGGTTCGCCAATTCATCTTGACGCCCCTTTGGTTCCAATTGAACCTTGATGGTAGTTGCTGGAGTTAAAGGTGGAGTCCCTGGAGCTGGAGCCCACACGGCCCACTTTGATGCGCCTGTCACCCCGCACTCTCCAGCAGGTGTAGCGTGTCCTTTGTCTGGGCCAAAGACGGCAGATCAAATGGGCCAGTGGAGAGGTTGACCCCCTCCTTGCACATCTACACTCACACACACATGCACACACACCTACACACATGCGCACACACACTCATGCACACTCTTTGTCAAGCCATAGGAAATAGTGCAGCCTCTCACAGTGCACAACTGCTGACTTCTCTCAACACCAGTACCAGACACAGTACAGACCACCAATATAAAAATATGTTTCTAGCATTTTTGGATTCGCCACACTATTTTCCCTATGCTGTATAAGGGATATTGTGTGTTTAAATGTACAGGTAATGCTGATTATCTTTACATCTGTCAAAGTCTTTTTCTTTCTTCTGCGCATTGATTCAGAAATTCAAATGAATAAATATAGAGATCGTGTTCTGAGTGTTTAGTGTACTGTATATGGAGTTGGTTTTGCTCCAACTCGCTCTGGCTTCTATTGACTGGCGTTGAAAAGTAAACTCCTCTAACTCCAACAGTTTGTGTTATTCTCCCCATGTTGTGTGTATAGTTTAGCGCTCTGTGTACTTGGTGGGGATTTTTTCCCCCACGCTGCTGAACATCCAGGGGGAGGACATTGAGCTAATGTACTACTCTGCCGTGTACTGGGTCCCGGGCAGCACAGAGCGGGACAGGAGTAGACTGAACAAGCTGGTCAGGAGGGCCAGCTCACCTATGGGCTGCCCCCTGGACTCTGGTGAGGGTCAGGAGGGTGCTAGTCAAAGTCACCTCCATCATGAACAACACCTCTCACTGCACAGGACTGTAGAGTGGAAGTGGAAGACTGAGGCACCCTCAGTGCAAGAAGGAGCGCTACTGCAGGGCCCCACTGCTGTCAGACTGTACAATAAGTCACTTGCACTAGGACTGAAAAAAAAAAAAAAAACCTGCACTGCTATTGCCACTGTTTCTTAATTGCCACTTTTATTGTACATAATATCCTGCATTTAACATGTTTGCACATTTCTTTCTTTTGCATAATCTTGAGTGATTCTATCCATGCCAGATGTGACATGTACATTTCTCCTGTGTGAGATCAATAAAGTCTTATCTTATCTTTTTACTTGATATTGTCTTTGTGAATTTAGATATGAGCCACAGGGAAGGACCAATCAGATGTTTTCATTCACACTGGAAAGATTAAGACATCAAATTTCTCTCTAAACATATCCTCTTTTACATTCTTAAGAAATTTGTGAGTCACTATTTAGCACTTTGTGCTAAATGCTTATTGGCTGAGTGAGGGTGGTCCTCTCTATTTCCCTTATTTATATATTACATTATAGAAAATACAATTATGTTTGTACAGTATACAAATAGTTGAAGCAAGAAACAATAGTTGGATGATTTTTATGATGTTTTCTTTTTTATGATTTGAAAGTTCTCCAGCTTTGGAGACATTATGGAGACTGCCAGCGATGATAAATGTATTGTATTATGCTAAAGTTAGAGAATTTTATGTTATTTTTTAATAGTATATTTTAGTTATTGTTAATTTATCTTGTGCTGTGTGCTCCTCATTCTTTCTGTTCTGTAACCAGTTGTGCCACACTGAAAGGATCTCTTAATCTTAATCTAGTGGGTTATTTTTTTTCATAATCACTCTCACCCTCACATCATCATGCTCGTAGACATATTTCTTATGGACCCTTCTTTATGCCTGTATTTGCAGATGCCACTGTGTATATTCCCCGGTTTGATGTTGACTCTTATTTGGAGCTGCAGCCTCTTGTGTCTCTCCTGCGGTCCTCTGGTGACAGCTATAATCTCCCCACTACCAACAAGGACACCACTGTTATTCTCCAACTGACACTGAAAACAAGATCTACGCAAGGCACCATTCTCTACAGTGAGTACGTGCTGTTGTCGGAAATTCACTTCATTTGATTATGTTTATGGAAGGGACTTTTTCATCAGTCTATACCAGCGATTATCGTCCATACATGTATCTACTACTAATGATAAATATGGCTACAGGGGATATGCAAGTAAACATTTCATGAGGGGAAAAAATTCAGGGACTTCAAAACTGCATACATTATAACAAATGCAACTCTATTCAAGAGCTGTTTCAGAGGAAAGATGGTGTCTATATGTTCAAAGAGCATTATGTTTGAAAGCTAAATGGCTTTGGCTCTCTAAGGCTTGGGCTTTGCTAATTCATTGGTTGTCCAAAACTAGAATTTATATCACAAAATTTAGAAGGAATGGAGAAAGCAAGGCAGAAGGTGTGTCATTCAGCTCTTCATTATTCCTAGACATTATTCTAGTACTTGTGTGAGATGTTCTGTTTATGGTTGAAATCTAGTGGGTCAAATGTAAACTTTTCATGTATAGGGGTCAGTGCGTAATAATAAACAGCTACCGCTCCAAATACACTGTTCAAGGTTAGTTTTCATATATGATACGTTTTTAGTGTTATGGGGAGTGTCTTTCATTTTTGTCCGTAAATTTTTGTCTTTTAAATAATTTAACCAATCTTAAAGGTGCCTGGCTGACTGACTGAGTGCCTGTGAGACTGGTCAGCATGATGCCTTTACTTGCACCAGGGTTGATCCGTTGTTTTGTAGGCATTTTGATGCGGGGGTCCTTTAGAAGCAAAAACCTTCCAAACAATTGATGCTATAGCATTCTACTGTAGGATGCTGTGAAGGACAATACCGGTAAATGCTGACCACTCATACGGAGCCTGGGTCAACACAAGGCCGAATATGCAAACATTCATATATAAAACGTCATAATGCCCCTTAAATGGAATTATATCTTTTGCAAAATGTTGCTGCCCATGCTGAACTGAGGTTTTTGCATTCCAAATGACGTGTTTGCCATTAAATAAATAAATATAAATACAAAAATTAATATATATATATATATATATATATATATAAATAAAATTGTCCACTCACTTTTGGCCCTCCGCGGGCGGTTATCCCTCTCTAAGCTCGGGTCCTCTACCAGAGGCCTGGGAGCTTGAGGGTTCTGCGCAGTATCTTTGCTGTTCCTAGCACTGCACATTTCTGGACCGAGATGTCCGAGGTTGTTCCGGGGATCCGCTGTAACCACTCATCTAGCTTCGGGGTCACTGCCCCGAGTGCACCGATCACCACGGGCACTACTGTCACCTTTACCCTCCAGGCCCTCTCCAGCTCCTCTCTGAGACCTTGGTATTTCTCAAGCTTTTCATGTTCTTTTTTCCGGATGTTACCATCGCTTGGAACTGCCACGTCCACCACCACGGCTGTCCTCTGCCCTTCGTCTACCACCACGATGTCAGGTTGGTTCGCCATTACCATTCGGTCGGTCTGTATCTGGAAGTCCCACAGGATCTTTGCACGCTCATTCTCCACCACCTTTGGAGGAGTTTCCCACTTAGACCTTGGGGTTTATATATATATATATATATATATGCAAGATCTACATTTTATTTTAAAATAGATACATTGGGTATCCACCTTGACACCTTCTCCACTGACTCCCACTGATGTATGCTGTTGTTGTGTCCTTGGGCAAGACACTTAACCCTACTTTGCCCAAAGCCCCCGCTGAGAGATCAAAGCTATGCTCACATTGACAGAGCAGCCATCCTCCTGTGGACTCACCACCTGCAGAGGGTCAGTGAGGGGCTGGTGCTATGAGACTTGGGTGGCATCTCTGACTGCCACCCCCCCGACCCAGAAATGGATTAAGGGGTAGAAAATGGATGGATGGATGGACATTGGATTTTGAAATTTGTAGGTACAGTTTTTTTTTTTAAGTATCTGAGAAAAACGAGAAATAAGAATTAATTAACATTTCTTGTTGCAGTTTGGTAGGACGTGGGAGTCGGATTCCAGATTGAGTGTGGGAGTGCTTCTATTTAAATGTTGGTCTTTCTCAGTGAACCAAGCACAACATCTAGTAAAGCAGATGTGCATCTTTTAAACATTTCAAACTCTAATATAATATAACATTTGCAGTAATATTGCAAAACCTCTTATCACCCTTTCACATTGGATAACTAAGATTTAAGTCTTATGTATGGACACTACTAATTATACTACATTCACGTACCTACTTCATGACTCCCACTGATTATTTTCCCATAATTACGAATACATAAAAAAATTACCACACACAAATAGATACTTTATTGATGCCTGTAGGAGAAATTCATTTGTCCAGTAGCAGCAAAAAACACACCCATCCACACAAACAAAACAGATCAATTGATCATTTTGAAAAGCTAACAATAGTAATAATAAGAAACAGCCCTTCAGGTCACAGCAGCAGAGATGCTCCTCTGTGTGGAGCAGGACAGGTCACAGCAGCAGAGGTTGTCTAGTCTTTCGGTGGAACAGGGCAGGTCACAGCAGCAGAGGAGATTAATATTCTGGAGAATATCTCCAGAATATGAATTATCCATTGGATTGTTTTACTAAAAAGTAGGGGCTTTCCCTTAAAGGTTAGCTTAGCAGTATACTATAAACTATATCTAAGTAGTACTGAGTCAAAACCACAAGGGGGGAGTGGCAAACGCGAAATTGGCATTTTGGGGGTTATCAGTTCAACCATTTTAGGCGTTTTAGAAAATCTGACTCAACAGTAACTTAGAGAGGTGCGCGCACTGACAAAAAGCAGGGAAAAACACATCCCATTTGTTTGAGGGGGGGGGATGAAAGATTCCCATTGGGTTTTTTTCTATCTTTCCACTCCAAAATACAGTATATATACTTTTTTTTTTTTTTGAGGCCACAGGCATCTGGTCATGTCTTTTCCTATTTGATAACTTGACTACTTTTGGGGTTTAGGGACGTTTCCCCACTGTATTTTTTAAATTGTGTCTGGATGAATCAATGACTTCATCTTTAATTGTGTAGTTATAGTCTGTACTGTACTTTTATAATACATCACTAGTGTAAACATAACATGACACCAAAGTGCAGACATAGCATCTGTTCACAATAGTGGGCAGTTTTTATTTGTGTAAAAATACAGTGTGTACCCAGAGGCGTCGCTTGCCATTAGACAAGGCAGGCAGCTGCCTGGTGCCCCCAAACCGGCAGGGGGCCCTGAGGGCCGACTGATTTGACACAAGCGGTCGACTTGTACAGGCTACAAAAGCTACCCAGTGACCAGTTGTCGGTTAAAAACTTTTCGTCGGATGCAAAACTTGCCGCATTCTTCATTAACAGGTATAAACCCTGCCGGGAGGCAGAAGAGTGTATTATGTCATAGTGGTCTAGTGGTTAAGTTGCAGCGCTTGCGCCTCGACGACCCGGGATCGAATCCGAGTAAGAGATATGTTTTGGATTAAACTATATATATTATTTTCTATGACAGATTGCTCAAGCACGGTGAAAGGTAAAAACAAGCCGTTTTTTGCAGATTAAAGCTAAGAGCCTAATCATTCATTTGGTCCTCGGTGTTTATATAAACCTCGGTGTTTGTTTATATAAACACCGAGGGTCAAATGAATGATTAGATTTTGTCGGATTACAAAATCTGGTTATGTGGTCGGTATTGGGGCCCCCAAGGACTCTGTTGCCTGGGGCCCCGGGGTACCCTTAGAACGCCACTGTGTGTACCTCTACTAAATTCTATCCTAATGTATCAAAAAAAAAAAGGTGACATGCACATGTGGTGGCAAAACAAGTTTTTGTTGATTTGATGGCATCTTGAATGCAGGAGAAACTACTTTGAAATCCTATGAGGACCCATAAGATATTGCCTCAGCTATTGTGGACAGATAAGCGGCCCTCAGAAATATAATAAATTGACCCATGATCAAAACTATTTCCCAAAAGAGAACAAAGGAATTTTCATCAGAAGCTGAACACAGGGGGAACACGTGAATAAGTGGCCTGGTTTGACCCTTTGGCTGCACCTGAACAATTCCTTTTGTTACAGGGAAGAGACTTTTTGTGGTAGGCCAGACAGCCTCTCAGAAACCCTGCTGTAAAACGAGGCTATTGTTTGGGAAGAATGGGTAGAATTGGAGCATGTTTTATTGTGTGAGGAGACAAACCAGGTCTTGTCTGGTTGCTAAATTTGCTGTAATACCAAAAGAAATGTTACTCAATTTAGTTAACTTGAGATAAAGTTATTGTGAAAATTAGGTCTTTGCACTAGTGCTTAGCCTGAATAATTGCAAGTGTATTAAGATTGATGCACATTACAAGAGAGATTGTATGATGCAAAATGATAGAAAAGGGAATTGTTTATAGTAGATAGAGAAGAACTTGTGTACTTATAGTGCCTTTTAGCTAAAAGCTTGTGCATAATGTTAACTCTAAAACGTTATTCTCCAGGGGGTAAATGTTCATCTGTGTGCTATGGCCAATAAAACAGGCTTTTATGTCAACCACAGTAGCCACAATGGATTTGGGTGTTTTTTTAATCCATTCTACTTAATCCTACCAACATAAAATATCTATCTATCTGATGTAACCTCCAGTAAATGAGTGACATCATGCACTGTAGGTTTACGGGCCCTCATTTGCATGAGATGTAATTCACCCACGTTGGGAATCAGTTTTCTAACATTCGCATTGTTTCTACTATTGAGTGATTGGTTTCCCAAACAAATCGTCATAACAACAAATCTACATCTTCTCAGCTTCCTGATTAGTGGGTTTTCAGTATATCATCCGTCCTCTGTATTTCATGTATCACCTCACCCACTTATCTTGTCCAGGATGTCTTCATTCTTCATGATCTCTATAATAGATCCTGCAGCTCAACCAAGAGCATGATGTGTCACAATATCTTCTCTCCATTGTACATTAGCTAATCGCACTACCTTACAATATTTTTCAGAGAAATTTATTTGGCATCCCTTCAAACGTGCAAGGATGAGCTAAAGTAAAGCAATAAATATATATCAATAGATTCTACTGCATGGCTAAATGGATCCATATAAGTGCCAGCTCCCTTCCTGGTTGTTATTGTGTATTGTCATGCTCTATCTACTACTACTAGATGTAGCCTCTGTGAGTGTTGCACAGAGAAGCTTGAATGGCTTTATTTGGGAGCTGTGGGAGCTGTCACTGACCTCTACGATGCTGCACTGTGTTCCAGTGGAGACTTAAATCTTGGTATTTAAGGAGCTATTAATTAGGAATCCCTCCGATCCTAATAAGACTTTAAATTAGCACGCTAATAAAGGTTGGAGCCCTCAGAAAAAAGTCAAGGCTTTTAAGCTTCAAAAGATGTTGTACACTTCATGATAAATAACGCAGGCTGCTTGACTAATTATACTAGATTTTAGGCTGGATGGCTTGAATGATACAATGAACTGTGGCACTCTGAGCTATAGAGATGATCTTATATAATTCTTCAAGAGCTCTGGGGATAATGTCTGTGGAACTCAAGGTTGTTGATACTTGCAGACGAAATGTATCTCATTGATAAATAGCCACAGTGACCACGCCATGTATGCCTATGTAACAATATAGAAAACCAAAATATAATACATTTCTTTGTTTAGTAGCTGGCTATAATGCTTTACAATAAGAAGGGCTTAATTACCAGGATTATTACAGGAACATTAAAGTCTTAATTGAGGAGATTATTCACAGGCATTGTTGCTTAATAGTTTGACACTTATTTCCAGTAGATCCTGAGTCCAAGTCCAGTGCTTATTTTTATTTTGTTCTTTCAATAAAACAAGTCTTTGGCAGAGGTCCATGCTCTCTTAATGTTTCTTGTTTGTATACTGTAGCTATTTCATAGGGAGAAAATGTAGTTCATCTTCTTGGCTGTGCTTTTGCAAAGTATTTACTATCCTTTTCTATCATAAAGTTATTTAAAAGAGTTCACCTAAGGACCACCATTTCCCAAGTGTAATGGCTAAAGTGCGATAACGTTTTGTGTGTACGTTCCTGCAAGTGTGTGTGTATGTGTGTGCCTTAAGAATGAATTGAACTCCAGTCATAATCAGCTGTCATATTAGTGTCTTCTTTATTGACTGGCACATGTTATCTGCCTCTGTTAATCTTCTGTCATTCCTCTCCAAATCTGAGCCTGTAGATATAAGTTTGACAAACAGTAACAACTTGTTGCAACACTATTCTAAATATTCTAACTAATATATTTTAGTTGTTTCTTTTCACCAATAAACTAGGGATGCACTGATGCATCAGCTGAACATTGGTATCGGCCAATGCTTGCCTTGTTCACTACCATCTGCAAAGAAAAATATCCTTCTCCGATGGAAGGCACGTGCAGAGAGAAACCGTAGAGGGCGTCTGCACACTTTCCTCAAAAAAAGAAACCCAGACGATGGCGGTGGCCGTGTGGCAATATCTAACGGTATGAGAAAAAGATCAGCGTTATGCAGTTTGCAATATGTGTTCCAGTGAGATGTCATGATGGGACTGCTAGAACACAACGAATCTCATTGGAGACTTGAGAAGCAAGCATGAGGCGGTTTACAGCGATTGAATGCAAGCTGAAGAAAAACAAAAAACTGAAGCCACCAATATACATCTGTATCGGTATTAGCCCAAAATGTCACAATCGGTTCATCCCTACAATAAACTGAAGATGGAGGCAGAAAGCAATGCATTGAATTTCGCCTGGCATACAGATCTCCTGTGTTTAGACCTGTATAACTGTAATATAGTTAGGAGTAGAAGTAAAAAATGAAGTATGTAATTATGGTTATTATCTCTATCATGGAATATGCTGTGTACATAATTTGATCAGTTTTGAAGTTGATGAAGTCCATGAACTAATGAATCTATGAACAGGATTAGTATGATGTTGATAGTAGATGTTAGATCAGGGGTCTCCAAACCAGACCAAAAAGGGCCGGGGTGGCTAATAAAAAACCCGCAGCCACACCAGCCCTTTCTGGGCCGGTTTGGAGACCACTGCATTAGATAGAATCCTATAACTTTTGCAAGGTGGTCTGACAGCTTATCCCTGGTGCAAGCAGAATTCCATTTTTTTTAATGCACCAACAAAATGTACCAAGTCAGTACTTTCTGTGCCTATCTCAACTCTGAATGTCATGGATCATGTCACTATGGGCAGGCTGGACAGCACGGAAGCCTCTTTGCTGTGATTTTGCGCAAAACTGAAAATGTATCTCGTAAAAATAGATAATATCTCAGTACAGTATCTAGTGAGCCAACTGTTGTCGCAGCTGTGGTAGCACCGGAAACAATTGGCTAAGAACTGTCTCTCATTATACCAGCGCAGCTCTTTCCTTGTACTATGATTGTGATACTTGAGTATTCTGTTGCATTGTAAGAAATTCTGTATAAGCTTGTTTTCTCTTTTTTCTTGAATCATATTAACATCATATGAACACCATATGAACACCATCAAGGCAAAGCATGTTTCGAAAGCAGATATAGAAAAGAGCACTGTGCCTTTTATCTGGTAGAGCTTCCTGTGGCTTTTAGTGCACCATCTTTTCTACATCAGAGAGGAGGAAGTGAAAGGAAAACTCCTGAGATCAAACAGACAAAGTTAATCAGAAGACGAGCTCAAAGACACGCATCGAGTTGCACTGGAATCATACACACACACACACCTCTCCCTCAAGCAAACACGCAAATCTCCCCCCAGACTTCAATTGTCAGCTCACGAATGAGAAATATGAGGAGGTGGGTGAGCGAGGCAGTGTGCAAGAAAGAGGAGGATGGGGAGAGAGAGAGCAGGTGACAAGCACTGACAAAGGGGACCAGCTCTTGTAGGCTGGGTGCAACGTAACAGGGCCATAGGGATGACAGCAAACAATATTCTCACGGAAAGAAAAATTGAAAAATAAAAGATGGGGCCAGCCTCAACATCGACTGTGAATAATCCACCATTTGTCAACAAATGATGGAGATGAGTCTTTGAGGAAACAACGGGTCATTGTGACAGGAAAAAAAATGCATCTATGTGCTGTTGTCTTACCCGATGCTTGGAAAAAAGCATCATGACATTTATTAAATGTAGCTTCCTCCAGAGGATGTATCTATGGCGGTATGCAGATGGTAATGTCCTGGGCATAATTCAATGTTCTGAAAATACTATACTGAAATAGGGCTGCAGATCAGGTTCATTATTTTAGACATACTTCATGGTAAAATAGCCCTTAAGATAAAAAAAAAGGATGCTAATAGAATAGTCTTTCTCTGAGCGTTTTAAAACTCAATAATTAAATGTAAAGGATATTCATGGGTCATTTAGAACTGACCCTTGATTTACAAACAATATGGATACTTTGCTTTACATTTAGATTGATCAAGTGCTTCCACGCCAGTATTAAATGTCTCATTATCATAAATGTTCATATATCAAATTTGTGTTCACAATGTTCACTCTCCACTCACAGTGCAATAGTAGATATAAAAGAAATTCTTAAAAGCTTAAATCTCATGTCTAATGTCAGTCAAGTTTGTGTTGAGTAAAAGCTGAGTACAGCTGTCATATTATCACCACAAGATCTCCAAGTGGGCTTAGACAAAGCATTAGAGTACAGTATTAGGTCTAGTACAGCTGCCTGTGAGTTTGGGACTTAGCACTTTTGTTCTACTGTTTGCAAACAGTGTTGTTCAGTTCGCTTCATCAAACTAGGACTTTCAACTCTGCTGAGATATGATAAGATAATATAAGATAAGAGTTCCTTTATTCGACTCACAGTGGGGAAATTTCGATGTTGCAGCGCACATACAGGACAGTAGTAAGAGCACACAGGGAGCACACAATATATACAAAATTGGTTGTAGGTGCTGGAAATGTTTCAATACCAGTCAAAAAATATATACATGTAGTAGTGCAGAGTTATGTACTGTACATATAGTGCAGGATAATAAGTAGATAAGTAAAGTGACATTGTTCAGTGGATATTCTGAAGTTGCAGTATAGCACATTGCACATGATTTAAGCATTTACTTATTTACTGATGAATTTATTATTATTAGTTTATTTGATATGGACATATCAACTGCATTGGACAAACCAGATACATTGTTTCCAGTGTTATAGCAAAACTGCTAATTTGCAACACCTGTCCATAGGACAGGCTCAGCAGTTCTTATTGTACAGTCTGACAGCAGCAGGAAGGAAAGACCTACGGAACCTCTCCTTCACACAGCGAGGGTGAATTAGTCTGTCACTGAAGCTGCTCCCCAGAGGGGTCCTGCAGGGGGTGACAGTCATGGTCCAACATAGATGTTAGTTTTCTCAGGACCCTCCTGTCCCCCACCTGCTGCACTGTGTCCAGGGAACAGCCCAGGACTGAGCTGGACCTGATGACCTTGTCCAGCTTCTTCCTGTCCCTCTCTGTGATGCTGCTGTTCCAGCAGACCACACCGTACAAGATGGCTGATGCCACCACAGAGTCATAGAAGGTCTTCAGGAGTGGCCCCTGCACTCCAAAAGACCTGAGCCTCCGCAGCAAGTAGAGCCGACTCTGGCCCTTCTTGAAGAGGGCGTCTGTATTATGAGTCCAGTCCAGTTTTTGGTTCAGATGAACACCCAGGTACTTGTATTTGTCGCCAGGTTTGCAGCGGCTGGGTTGAAAATCCTCATTCAAGGTCCAAATGAGGTTCTCAAACGGCAAAGACAATGGTTGAATGAATAGATGTATTATTAATTGTAACCCCTGGTCATTAATAGAAGACCATATTCCCTCAAAAGAGTTGCTGTGCTCCAAGCCAGTGGGAGTCAGTGTTTCCTGTTTTCTGTGAATGTACTTGGCTTGGTGTTGCCACCTCAAATTCCCTTTTCTCAAATCACAAAAATCATTGATAAACCTTAAATGTGCATTAGGTGCAACAATATTTTCAAGGTTTTCCCCTCTAGAATACAGAGAAATTCAGTGATCATCTTTTGATTCTTGTCTCTCTCATATTTCTAGCCCAGACTCTGAACTTTGGAGAGCAGTTTGTCCATGTGTTTCTGGAGGATGGGAGCCCTGTGGTGCAACTGAGCTGTGGCAGAAATCATGTTTTAAGTGTGGCAGCTGAGAAGAGCGTCAACACTGACAGATGGGTCAGCCTTATTATCAGGTACAAATGGTGTAATTAAATTAATTAAGATCTTTACATGTCCATAAATGTATTTTTTAGTATTTTATTTGTCTTCTGTTTTATCTTTTGGGAGATATTGAGATGTACAAAAAATCATGAATTTGATAATGGCATGAAAATAAGCTTACGTATTTTATCAAAAGGCTATTAGTAATAAAATTGACTATAAACTGTTTAGGGCCTTAACCATATGTGGTAGACCGTTAACATGCGGATGTAGTGGTTTAGATGTGCACAATATCGTAAACATGTATCAGAGGCAGTGCGGCAGACTGAGGCAGTGGGAGAATAATTGTTGCTACTGCTCTGCCTGCATTTATTCCCGATCGCTTCAGCAAATGTATTCATATGTAAATCAACCTGTGACGTCAGCCTACAATGTTTAGGTCTTTGGATAATAGTTTGGCAGCTCTAAAGGTGTTTGCCCAGCCTAGTTGCTGCTTTCAACAGAGTGTGGAGCAGTGAATGTATTTAACAGTCAATAATTCAAGCTCCAGTGACCAAACTGGCGCCCCTACCACCCTTCCAATTGTCTCGCCTGGTCATTGACTGTCTTACCAGCACACACATTTTTTAGGTTTTTCTTCGAAGGCAGAATCTGTTTGGGTGTTCATGCTCAAACAGTATCTTTTATACTGAGACACATTTTTTTACTTCTCTCAATATGTTAAATGGTTAATAGTGGCTGGGTCGCACACATGCACAGCAAGAAGGTAGTGTGTTCAATCCCCCGCTGGCCCAGGCCTTTCCTTGTTCAGACCTGCACCTGCAGTGATGCCCTGCCCTTGCCCATCTCCACCTTTTTTAGTGCCAAGGAGCAGTTTAACGTCAGACAATAATTTCATGGACCGGCACCCCTCAATTAAACTTATTTATGTACAGTCGTCACAAAAGCAGTCGTCTCGGACGACTTAACAATATTGTCCATTTGCCAACAACAAATAGAACACAGGAAATCCAATAATACAACAAACACATAATTGGTCCATGGTCATGAATGTCCATAAATGTCCTGGATCATCATTGACCTGAGACCCTCCCAGGGCCGGAGTGGGACAACATTTCAGGCCGGGAGCTTTTCATCCATTCAGGCCAAACAAGGTTCTAAATTTGGGTTTTTGTCATTGTATTTTGATGTTCTTTTAATAGTTTTAAGATTGACTGTCAAAACTTTTGTTTTCTTTATTTCTTTTTATATTGACTGTTTATATAATCTCGGACGTTTAAAGATTGTTGTACGTTGCTTAGCAACGTAACGTTTATGGAGTTTAGTGAGAATAAAGACACACACACACACACACAATGAACTAAGTGTTCATTAGTGTATAACTATAACAAGCTAATCAATTATTGTTAAAAAAGTAGTAAGGTAAAATCACATCGTTACAGCTCATATAAAAGGAAAAATAACAACGTGTATGAACCATCAGTTGGAGAGACCACTCATTTCAACCGGGGAAGCTACACTGGGTGCACTGCTAGGCTGGCCTGGCTGTGTAGCCGACGTGTGACGTCACATTTGTTTAATTTTGCTCTGGCCCAATGACAGTAAAGCTTTGGCCAGTGTTGTGCCAGTTCACAGCTTTTCTGAACAAGTTCAAGTTCAGTTCATACATGCTCAAAGTGAACAGTTCACGTTCGAAGTTCTCAATTTTAATTCTGAACTAGTTCAAAGTTCAGTTCATTTTACTTTTTGCGAGATATTCAAATAAATATTTTTTTTCACTACGAGCTAGAAATCACAATACGTGGTATATATATATATATATATATATATATATATATATATATATATATATATATTATATCCTGTACACTGCACAGGATGTTTTGACTCCAATGCAGACAAGATTTACATGGGTTTCAATGGGAACTGAGTTGTCCCATCTCTGCTCATAAGTACAAACTGTAATGCGCTGCAGAACGTGTGTCTATACTTTATGTCAAATGTAAACGGCCCTGTGTCACTGACTTACCCCTGTGTTTTCATCACGGCACATGTGAGTCCAACAACCAATGAATAGCACTAGCGCCGCACCGCAAGTACACTGAGTCGGGGTGCGTTCACAGACGGTGGAAACCGTAGGAATTTTTAGTTTTCGGCGGAAACAGTGCGGAGAATACAGGAGGGAGGAACTTTCTCTCGTTGCGTTTCAAAAGAGAAAACAGATTTCACTCAGTTTTAAATGGAAAACAAATTGTCTGCCGTTCATGACACATAATATGAACTAATTCACGTTCAAGTTATTTATTAAAAAATGTGTTCAACGTTTCACGAAAAAATGAGCGTGTTCAATGAACGCGTTCTTTTGAACTCGTTCACGCACAACACTGCCTTTGGCCTGGGCCTTGCTCATTGGACCAGGCCACCAGGCAGGGTAGGAGTTTGCAAAGACCGTGAGGATGAAATTAAATTAAAAGAAAGAAGAAAAAAAAAAAAAAAAAAAAAGACCGTGATGATAGGGCAGGCCCAGGCCACTTTGACACGCAGGCCACCGGGAGATCTCCCGATGCTCCCGATGGCCAGTCCGGGCCTGGACCCTCCTGCATCAGCAAGGAACAAAAAAATGATGAAGTCTCTGGGAGGCCTACAACAGGCTAACAGCGGCAGTTCATGGAGTGTCCTGTGTGATAACTGATAATTGCACCATTTGCATTACATGGTGCAAGGACAGGTCCTTGCAGGCGAAGGGAGACCATTCATTTGAATGAGGAGAATAGACCACACTCGGTCCATAGATAGATAGTAGATAGTCTGTAGTGCACAAGAGATGTGCAGATTTGTTTATTTTCTTTATGTACAGTAGTAAGTTGTAAGCGGTCATTAATAATGAAACACCAGGGAACACCCCCTGTCTGCACGTTTCACTTGAATTGATGGAAACTTACAGTAAATGATATTGTCCATAATTGTTTTTCTTTATTTAAAAAAAAGGGCCCGGTGTCATTTGTGGTCGATTCAGAATTGAGTTGCTTTCCCACAGCCACACAATGAAGTCTGAGCTCTGTCTGTCGTCCCATTCAGTAGTTTTGTATTGACAAGATCCCCATAAACAATTCATTGAAGAACCACAAGCCCCCTGCTTGTCACTGATGAGCCCCACAATGACGGAGCCATGTTGTGTGCTGTCTGATTGTATTGCTCTGATCAAATGATAAAACACAAAGATCGCAATTGAATAGAGGCTTACCAGTCACAACTCAAATGATGATCAGTGATATGCTCCTGCTGCAGCCCCAGGGTGTGTCTGCTGCAGATATATAGTTATTATAATATTAATGAACGCTGCATGATTTTTTCGGAAGTCCTGCCTCTCTGAAGATTTTTTTCTACAGGACCATTCTACTTTGTTTTGATCCTCTCCTGTCTTTCGTCGAGTGTTTTTTCAATCCTATCCATACTGTCTTTTACATCTTCTCAGCTACCTCCTTGGGTAGCTGCAAAAGTGATTGGGACTTAGCACAAGGATTGAGAGTGTGGTGGAGAAATCATTACATTTTTTGGGAAAATTTTTTCCCTTACCTACAAATTTTACTTACCTAAATCACTGCTCTTTTTGTCATTCTCAACCATATATGACACTAGACTGATTTGTTCCACTCAAATTGGGCCATATTAATTTATTATGTGATATGGAATACTATTTAAATTATATCTTCTGTATTTTGTTGCCTCCAGGCTGTCAGTGATCTTCAGAATAGAGTGCGCATGCTGCGCTGGATGACTTATTTCATATTTCCAAATGTTAAAAGTCTCTAAACATCCAGGGAATATTTGAAAAGCCCAGCTCTGAAAGTTGCAGTTGTGGTTATCTAAATGAGTTATTGAAGACAGCTTATTGTGGACTGGAGATTTTAAAAGAATACACCCCAGTTTACACTCTTCTAAAGTCTCTGGGACTGTGTCAAAGCCACTCTTGCGGTTGGGTTATGGGGTGTATTGTTCATTTTTACAGAAAGAAAGATTTCATATTTTAGGGTGTGGAAGAAGAAGAATACTAAATGCACCATAACACTAATGATTTTCAAAATGTCATGATGCTGTGTTTTTGACTGAAGTGCTTATTCTGTAATGATATTTGTGTCTTTGGCAACCCATTAATTTTTATGTGCTTTTTCATACATGGTATATTTGTCTTTTCCATATGCTTGTGATGGGGGTAATTTCCAAAGCTGTAATTACCTGTACCTAAAGTTGCATGGGTGTGATTGCCTCTGGGAGGTGTCCTGGAAGGCTGTTTTAAATTAGCAGGAGGCCAATTGCTCTGATTGTTTCCATCTGGTCATCAAACCAAACAATAAATGCTATTTTTATGTCTCACGTCATCTCTTGTGTATGTTCCAAATACATGTTTCAACTCAATTTGATTTTCCAGCTGAGATTTGAAAACACTTAGCTACGTAACCGCTTCAACATAAAAACTGCAAATGTATAAGCGTCAGCTCTGGACTCATGTATAGTCTGTCTGATCATGGGACCTCTCCCATCGGTCATTCGCTGTGGTTCTTCTTGAGGTTATTCTTTTCCCCCTGGCTTTTTTCAGTTTTCCCTTGCACTCCTTTTCTTGTGTGGGGCAACCTTTGCATAATGGAAGATGCTTTCATGGGATACTCTGCATACAAAGCTAAGAAAAATTATAGCAAAAAGATCACTTGGCTTTTCCTGTAAACCAGCTCCTTAACATTACAGCTGCATCATTAATGACTATTACTATAGTGCATTGTGTGTCCCCAGAGACGCACAAAGGTCCAAAGGTTCAAACTGGCTGCTTTCTCAGTAGAGTAGTGTATATTTCCAATCTGTGCCAATTATTGTTTTAAGAGAATTCCTTTATCCAATCTCTAATAGCAATAGTTCTGGACCTGTTAATGGTTCTTGAAAAAGTATGTCACGCTATTATGTAATGAACCCATAGTCTATTAAAATGAATATGTTATCAACGGTACAGACATATTGATATTCATGCTCGCAAAACTAATCCGATTGCTATTTTTCTGAAGTTATTATTTAAATCCAACGTTTTCTCAATTTTGTTCGTGTCTCTCGGGTCTTTGCAGCACAGGACGGAAGTACGCCATTCCCCCAACCTAATCAGATTCTCATAATAATGTGTAACGTGTCGGCTATCATGCATAGTACATTTGTATAGAGGTCTCTGTGGTAACATTAGCCGGCCCATTACCACAACTCCTCTGTCTCTGTCTGAATCTGAATATTTTTCACACTTAACTGCATTTCTGAAACACAAATATTGTCTTTATGTATTTATTTGTGTTCTCTGCAGATACAATCTTCCTGTTGGCAAACAAGATCGCTCATGTATGGTTGAAATAGCAGTAGATAATGGCCCAGCACAGCATCGAGAGGAATATGTCTCTCACCCCATGTTGAAGGTAAGTTGACCTGCCATTTCAGATCTGAAAGGCCTGTTACCTAGTATTACAACCACTGCTACGAATACTAATATTGTATGAGTGCAAAAAATAGTCACTGAAAATTCTGAAACAATTCATACAGTAAGTATGTACCTTTCCCACCAGGTAACTTTATATTTTACTAAATAGAGTGGGCTGGCATCTCCTCAATTCTGACACTTTCTGCTTGTTTCCTAGGAACAAGTTTACTTTTTGCTGTACTGTTTTTGCTGTACTGTTCCAAAATATTGCGTAAAAGTGAACTTTTTATTTCTTCAGGATTAAGCAGATTATGGTTGCAACGTTTTTTTCATTAATCACTCAATAAATGCATGTACATTTGTTCAAGCTTTATTCATAAACATTGTTAACACAATCTTTTTAGTGCCAAGGACTATTTTTGTTGAGCTTTTGTGTAATATGTGCACATTTAATTAGAGGGGGGTTGGGGGGGGGGTTGATGGTGTGATGAATAGATGCTCTGAGATGCAGTTTCTTGTCCAGGTCGTTGTATAACTGCATGAAGCAGAATAGCAGCAGCTGAACGTATTCATTTGTCTTGTTGACCTTAATGTACACTAAGGTCTTATTATTGTGGCATTAAACTTGTGTGAGAAGCTGCTTTAGCCAGAAGCCTGTGTGTGCAGAGGGTCATACATTGTATGATTAAGTACGATTTGGTTAATGATATTGCTGATATGTGGCTTTCCACCATTGTTCCTTCACAGGAAACCTTTGGACCCATATTTCTCGGGGCCCTCTCGGCCCACAGGGAAATGCTTGGTGTTAGCGCGAAGAGAGCCAGGAGATTCATGGGATGCATCAGGGAATTTTGGGTTAACTCTAAAGAGATTTACCTGGTTGGTGAAGGCACCATGGGGAGGAATATTAAGAACTGTGAGCCACTGGTGTGCCAGCTCCTTCCCTGCAGAAATGGAGGAACCTGTGTCAGGTGAGCATCTACTGCAGTGAAACATATTCTCTACTATCCATGTGTCTGATGGTGCAGTGTAGAAGGCTACGTTCACTTGGTATTAGTAATAACGATACACTGCATGCCTCTGCTGACCTTACAAATGAGGTCAACTTCTGCTGAATGCAATCAGTGCTCAAACATGTGTGTGTCAGGGAGAAGAAACGAGTGTTTACTGGTTATGCTTATGCTAAGAGTGGAGGTCAGGACTAAATATAGCCTGAGTGACAGAGTCATTACACCTACATGTTGACTCGATGTTTCCTCTTGCCCAAGTGACTCGAAGGAGCAATGTTGCCCGAAGCAAAATGTTGACAATACACAGTAAATATGTCCTTTCATTAGTTTACAAATGTAATGAAGTCAATAATTCCCTTTGACTGACGTATCCAAAGTCGATGCAAGAGCGAGACAAGAGATCTTCACGTTTAACATCTGCATTTAATTATCTTTACAATCAGATACAGAATGTTCAGCAAAAGTGCTCCTATTCTAGGCCTGCTCTTCCCCTGTCCGTGCCCTGTCCTGTCTGACCTCGAAAAACACACACAGGGGCTCATGAGGGAGACTTCCGATGACGTCATCCTTATGCGTCCAAGGGGTGGAGTTTCCGGGTGTGCTGACGTCCCTTGTCCACTGGGAGGCGTCAGAATGCAATTGGTGAATCTCCCAGTCTGCCTCAAGATTCAGGTTCTGAACTCTTGTCCTCGTCAAAATGTTTATTATTTAAAGTTAATAATTCGCCCTGTTTAAACAGCATTTTATCTTTATGACTCATGTCTGATTATCCTGTGTCCTTGGGGTTTTTCCTGAGTGCACGGAGGTCTTTCTGGCTATGATGTTCAAATGGTCAAATATTAAAATATACAACAGTAACCACACTTTATTGTTTGGAAAGAAGCCTGAAATCAATTAAATGTGTTATTTATTTACATGTTATAACTTGAAACTGCCGGATAGACAATTGTAAACAAAGAAATGATACTAGATCTTCAAACCCTGCAAAAAGACATTAAAAGTCTCCAATAATAGCTTTGTAAGGAAATTAATACGCTCAGTTTCTCTGTTGCAGGGATTGCCATGTTTTTGGCAATATCAGATTTTCACAACCCGTGTCAAACCTGAGCGTTCCTCTGGAGAAGAGAGCTCTAAAGTTTTGAGTCGTACTCTGACAATAGGTGCCCTTGTTTTGCTGCTGCTGAAGACAGCTGATGAGTACCTTGTGTTTTTGTAGTTTTGCAATTCTTCCTCACTGACACTGACAGTATAGCGCTGTGCAGTTCAGTACAGTCTTTTTCAACTTCAAGATAAAGTTTTAGAGAGGAAATATTATGCATTATGTTTGTCCCTTAAATATGAGAGCATTTATTTATTCATTCTCATATTTTTCTCGTTCAACAAAAGTATTTAATTGAAATTTTAGATTTCCAAATGTGTTCAGCAACAATTTCTATAGTCTGTGTATAGGAACAATGCTGCATGTCTACAGAGCACAACAACAATGACTAAAGGCTATAATATATTTGAACCCTTCGCTGTCTTTGTAGCTGGATGTTCGCGGCACAGTGAAGATGCATGTATAATGTATGGTATAAATAGAGCAGTGACAGTGGGCTGGGAGCTGGAGCTGGGGGTGCACACAAAGTCAGCCAAGTGAAATGACAGTTTTGGCAGGAGCCGCTCTACTCCAGCATGGACTTTTTATGCAAAGCGATTTGATTTTAAGGCCATCTTATCCGAATTGGGCCGGCTGCACTGTTATTAATGCAAACTCTGCCCAATGGGAAAACTCAAGTTACACCAACATATAAACAAGAAATCTATATTTCCTGTTTATACTAAATGATAATACAGCAATACAGTGTAGAAAGTTGTCCTAAGTTAATAATCGCACACAAAACATGTTAGACATGTCAATGTGCTTTTGAATTTGGATATAACAATGTTTTGGATAGTGTATTTCTCAGATATGGATAGTAGTGTGGGAATTAGCCAAAGGGTAAAACATCTCTCTACCTATATCCATTCAAAAATCAACATTACAGCTTTGTGAAAAATGTTTTATTGGAAACACATCAAATTGGTGTATCAAAGAGACCAAAGAGAGAAAGGACAAACAGGACATTGTATTATGCTAAGAATATCAGTACTATGCCCATTTATGCCTGATTGCATTGTGGTCACGTTGTCTTGTCATGCGCTGAGAGGCTCTTGCCATTATCTCCATGATAAATGTACATCATGTAGCTACAGGAGCTTCTTCAACTACATGACGTGCAAGGGTCATCTTGAGTTCAGAGCCCTGTTCATTAGGTTAGCTGGCCTGGGTTGCCCCACACTGCACACTATAATAAGACGAATAAGGATTTTGATTGTGGCTTCAGTTGGGGTGAATGAAGCGTGCCCCTTTCGCTGTGCTCCTCTGTTCTGTTGGCCATGCACGAATATTGATATTAAGCTAGAGTGGATAATGGGCTGCGGTTGGCTGACTTCATCATATGTATTAGTTATAGAAGCAACATCAAAAACCTTTGAGAATGACTTTGACTGTGATTTTATTCCATGCGACTGTGCATTCATTTGAGTCAGTCATGTTTATTGAACATGTCAAAGAGCCATAGAGCAGCTGTACTTAGCTAAGCATGAAGAGACATGCACCTGCATCTAGATGGTGTACTGATATGTGTGTGTTTGTGAGAGCAGGTGGCAGCTCACAGTAGGACAGACATGATACAGGACATTACCCCTTATACAACTACTATCATTAGAGCATTTTGACTACGGCACTAAACGGTATGTATTCCCACATCAGTCGGTTTGACTAAAGATGACTTATTCATGTTTTGCATATTAAAATAGTTTTTGTTTTTCATCCTGCAAAACGTATTAAGAATGCTATGTTAGTAGAATTTGTATATATAGTTGAAATCGAAAAAACAGATACTGCATTGAGATGGAACTTGGAGGTTGCTGTGTGTGATAGCAGAGTGACTATTGTAAAAAAGGAATGCTAATCGCTATTATAAACAGGGTACAGATTTCAAATAGATGACGGTGTAATGATGACTCATACGAAGACACTGCAAACACTCATCAACTGTTGGACCCCAACAAAACTGAATTAGTGTTTCTTTTATGCAAAGAAGACCTTCAACAGGGGTCCTCTGTTGCATTTGGCACCACTGATATTGACGTTGTTTTCCATTTTAAACTCCATTGGTAGGATATTTCTTATTAAATAAATAGCAGTTTTGCACAAAGCTGTCTTGCATACATACCTTGTATAACGTGACCACTGCAGATCCTCTCGCTGTTCTCTCACTCACACTATCATTTGGTGCTAATTGGTGAAAGTGTGGTCTTCCTGTCTTGGCCTGGGGTCACAACACCTCACTAACATGTTATTTTAGTTGTTTGCAAGTTCGATTTATGTAGGTGCGTTATGTAAATGCATTATTCCTTGCATTCACACATTTCCATCTTTCAAAGTACAGATAAAACAAGTCAAGGTCTAAGAAACAATTATTTTCATCCACTAGAGAAATAAACAGCTACAATCCAGTGCTCTGCGTTGTTCCCCAAAGGATCTTCTCTCAGCAAGAACATGCTCATTATAGGCTTTTCACTTTTGTCTTTGAATGTTGAAGGACAATGTGTTCAGGAAATGTGTTTGTACAGTGAGCACATTTCATAATACTTTGTGTTACCTTGACTGACTTGAAATTGTTGGTTAAATATAAATATCATGAAAGTGACAGAATTATGTTGTATGTAAGTAAGTAATCTTTATTTATATACCGCCTTTCACAGACCAGAGTCACAAAGCGGTTTACAATTGTTATTTTTTGGGCATTTGTCCTCTCACTCCACACAGAGATGAGAGCAGGGTCGCCAGTACAGGAGGCGCATGCCAGACTATTGTACATGTTTTTAGTGGTAGGGGAAACCGGAGTACCCGGAGGAAACCTACGCAGACACAGGGAGAACATGCAAACTCCACTCAGAAAGGCCCTGATCCGACCGGGATTCAAACCCAGGACCTTCTTGCTGAGAGGCGAGAGTGCTATCCACTCAGCCACCGTGCAGCACGTCAATGTTTCTGTGCTTTGAGCATGTTGGCTTGTTGGTTAAAGGTCTGTACCATAGACTGTATATATTAACGGACAGAGTCACGCCTATCTCCGCCGTTCTAACTAATGGGCCAAAAAATTTGCTCTACTGGAGCAATCCAAAATGGCCGCCCGTGAGTGGTCCCGCCCACAAGAAAATGGTGAAAAAACGCATCTGCGCATGCGTCAGCCGGCGCAGCTCCATTCATTTGAACGAGAGACTTCAAAAATTCACAGCAAGTAAACTAGAGTGGACCAAAAAAATCCACCTCCCTCAGCATTGACACACAACTTTTGGTCCATCCTGTAAAGACATTTTTGAGAGGTCTGCCAATGCTATATGTTAGCATTGGCTAATTCTTCTTCTGGGTCCACCCCCATCGGCCCGGGGTGGTATTGCAAGCATGTCAGCGCACGTCATTTTGGCCATGATGTTTAAAGGTATACAGACCTTTAAACATACTAAAAAAGTTCTCTTTTTGTCTTTGAGCACAGATAAAGGAACTGAGTTTGTATAATGTTGTCCATGTGGAAGATGAGTCTCGGAACACATCTGTGTTAAATACAGTAAATGTTAAACAGGGCAGCACCATGCTGTTGCAGCTTTTTTTCAGCAGGGAACGGGAAGAGTGTCAGAGTTGATTGGAAGGTGTATGGAGCAAATACAGGACAATCCTTTATATAAAGCTTTTTAGTTTAAAACATGCTTATCAAGCCTGGTCTGAAATTCCAGACTTATCCAATCTAGAAACTGTGGCATGAGTCAAATAGTGACTCAAATGTGTAGGTTTCCTCTGGGTACTCCGGTTTCCCCTACCACTAAAAACATGTGCAAAAGTTCAGGGTGAATGAGTGTGTGTTTGTAGGTGC